GTATTTATAAGTATGAGGTTTAACAGGAGACCGAAACGACGGTGGCATTAGAAATACGAGTCGGGGGGGGGGAGGGGAGGTAATGTCGATTTTATTTTAAACAAACTTCTTCGCGACCTTCTACACATAATATATATGGTCGGGTCCTTTTATTTTTTTTTTTGTACTCTGTAATAAATCACACGCTATAAATCCCTTTTTCCCCCTTTGATTGTTGTTGTATATATTATACAGCCTTGCGAGAGGGCTCGCGCAAGGGTTCCAAGGACTCAATGCTCCACACGTGTGTATACATATATACATGTACGGTGTATGTCATGCTATAGGTGACCGTGGAAGACGAGTAGCAGCCGTCGCGCCGCACGGACAACAGATGTCGTATACACACACACATATTGTGTATTTTGTGGTCTGCTGTTAGCATACGAGGGTAGAGATGGCTTCGTTATATCTATACTACGTGTGTGTGTTGTTATAGGAATGCAGTACGTCTATAAGATAACGCGTATAGTCTATAGAAATTTGTAAGGCTGGAGGGTAGAAAAAAATGAGAGTAAGAAGTGACGGTTCACCCCTTTTATACGACAACGCGGCGACATATTAATGGGCGCGCGACTGAATACGACTGCTCAGATTGTACCTATTATTATATACTATAGTTATACAGGCTTGTTGTATATACGAATAAAAATCGTATAATAATAATAATAATAAAAGTCCATTATTGTGTAAGAGCCGTTTTCGTTTTAATTATTTCGCTTTCCGAGTCGTTAAAGCGCGCACGTCGTTTGTGTGAAATAAAAGGAAATATTACAGAAGGGGACGACGACGGTATATATATATATATATATATATATAATGGAAGAGCTGGCAGCGTTTTAAGGGTGGCGGGTGTATACAAAGGCGGGAAGGAGTGTAAAGTTGAAAGTAATTGGGCGACGCCCGGAGCTTTAGACGTCTTCGTCGCGTTTTCTTTTTCTTTTTCTTTTATTTCTTTCTTCTCCTTTTTTCACCTCTTTCCCACCCGTCTTGTATACTATACTTACCCCGCGCGTATCTCGTCGAAAAGGGTCGAATTCAATACACACACACACACACACATTTATAGCTTACGACTTACAAGTGCACGCAACGCAACAACCAACAGAAGGTGTGTGTGTATATACTATATTTTATACGACGACGCTGCAGTCGACCCCTCCGGTGTATTATATACACAACAAAGTTCTTGTGTTCATATCTCGAAAGTTTCTCCCCTCTCTCTCTCTCAATCTCGCCTGCATTTGCCGTACGGCCACCGGGACTGTATCTATATAAAGCGTATACATTCGCGCTTTCCCATAATTTATCTAATAAACGACTTTTGCCCAATCGAGGGCGTGCAGCAATAACTAAAGTCTAAAGGGAGAAGCTGAACAAAAAATTAATACACCGCACGTGTAGCGAATCGATCCAAACCATTATATTTACGCACGGAAATTAAAAACGCCGACTATTTTTTTTTTGTCGGGTGCGCTAACAAAAATTTGTCATCGTTCGTGCTTTATGACTTATGAATATATATATATATATATACGTACACAAGAGATATATGCCCGAGGGTAAATATAATCATTCGAATACGACCGAAAAAAAGCGGATACGCTATACGCTGCCAAAGGCGACAATTGAATAATACAATAAAGCCCTTTGAATCATTTTGTATACGGATGCGTGCCCAGGTCACGTGCTCTTGTAGATAATATTATTATATTAAAAGTTCAACCGTTAATACTTCTTTGTCCTGTTAGAGCGGAAAGTTTTTCTCGATGTATTACAAATTATACATACCTAAAATTATACCGCGAGAATACTTGAAGGCATGATAATTTATATAATTTTACTGTCTTATAAAAAAAATGTCAATTTTTAATTTTCTTTCAAATTAAGTACTTAAATAAATTATAAAACTGAAGTTAACTCGAACATGAAACTAAATGGATTCAGATGAAAATCTCAAACAATTTTGTTTTACTCATTTAAAACCGATTTGCAAATTATATAAATCCCGAAATAAAATTTCTCCAAAAACCCATTTATGGACCGCTATAACATATTATTATACACACACATTTAACACTATTGATTGCAGTTGTCATCGCCGACGACGTTTTGTCGAGGGGTCATGCTTAGGAGGGAGGGAGTGATCGAGGGCTGGAGGAGCTGATGAGCACAAGTACAGCGTGCGTGGAGGCAATAGGATTTTCGTGGGCGTCGGTTTATGATATAATGACGGCTGCGGCGGCGAGGAGGGTGCCACTTTAGCCGCGGGTCATTATAATACACATGAAGGGGACGACGGTTGGGGCCGTCGACGTTGTGAACATTACACGTGTCTCGGCGGTGGCGATGATCCTCCCGTGGGGCGTCATGTACGGCTTTATTTAACGGTATATATATACATACACGTCATATAACATTATGCTACACCGGCCGTTTACGCTGTACTCACTCTATCGTTAGAGGGTTGGTTGGTTTTTTTTTTCTACGAAATCTGTAGTACGTCCGCTTTCATTTAATACTTTTTATTATCATAATAACGTACATAAGAGGTCGATTGGATTGTCAGAAATCATAATGACGTCGTATTAACGATTTTGTATACTATAAAATGAGGAGTGTACTTTAACGAAAATTATCAATAACACTTCCGACCGGTTTGCAAAAACGCGCTCTTTAATCAATCTAAACGTGTATTATAATAATGATAAAAATAATAATTTATTGTTTGTGTACACAATTAGCCAGTTCCAGATATTATTATTGTGTGCAGTTTTGTCGTTCCGCGGGCGTTTATATGTATAATATATTATTATGTATATATATATATGTACAGTGTGGTGTAGTGTTAATATTATATTGTGTATTATTTGCTTAGCCGATAACTATAATACTATTATGTGTTATTCCGCCGCGCGGCGGCCGCATGTTTGTTGTTTGTATTGTGTAAACGAATCGACGCGACTTCATATAGGTATTATAATATAGGTACACATGTATGTATATATACATTATTTCGAATACCGCAAAGACAAAGCGGGTTATATATAATATGCATGGATCGATATCAAAACGATTTATACACGAGTCGGTGTTGTTTTTATTTTACATGTAGTCCAAATCGTCTCGAGTTTCCATTTTGTATATTTTTATTTTATGTACATTAGTATGATAATAATATACTATGTTGTTGCCAATGCTGTTGTTGGCTGTTGCGGTACACGGCGGGAAAATTCGCGTGTGTTCATCAACATCATCATCGTTTTTTTTATTGAATGGCTTTACCTTCGTTATGGCACGACGGGCCGTATTATTATGCGAAGATACCATTATCGCTGTAGCGTGAAGCGATGGAAAAAATTTTTTTATACATATATATATATAATATAAATAAATAAAAACGTAAAATCAAACAAGAGTCCAAGGCTCCTCTATTTAAACGGGCGGGTGATGAATATTGTTATTATTATTTATTATTGTCATCGTTGACTTCGAATAATAAGCCGACCGCCAGCGGTGGTGGTTCACATTAAAGCTAGTGATTGGTTTTTGTTGTTATTGATATTATAATATAATAATATATTATTATGGAATAATTTTTATCAAACGGCTACCGACCGGCGCTCTTAATATACTTTGTACGCTTTTTGTGTACGATAATTTATTTATAAAAAATAAAAAAGAATAATAATATTATTATTGTTGTTGTAGTTGTTATTGTTGTTTATCGACATTTGAAACAAAACGAGGTATGTCACACTCGCGGTTGAGGCATGCACACACACACACGCACGCACAAATACGGCAGATAGATAAAAGATAATCCAATTGTATGTGTGTCGCGGACCGGGGTATTATAAAAAAAAAAAAGGTTGGAACGCTCGATCAAAAAAAAAAAAAAAAAAAACAGGTAGAAATGTTTTTTTTTTGTTATTTTTGCCGTTGCCCTCCGCAGCTTTGTCGTGGTGGTGGAAAAAAAAAACATTTTTCCTTTTAAATTTTTAATATCGCCCGGGATCCGAGTGCTCCACGTGGAGCCGGCCGGTTGCTACGCGACCACTGCGCGGTAGACGGGCCGCGATTGGTCGGCACCGCGTTACCATTGGACGGCGGCTCATTGGCGGCGGGCGAGCGCATTGGCCGCGGCGCCGGTATGCTCCACGTGGACCGACGGCTGGCGAACGTGAAAAAAAAAAAATACCGTACGGGCCCGTTTGCGTGTTGGGGTTTTGCTCGGAGGCCGGCGGAGCGATACTGGTAATCAGAAGGGACCAAACAGCCGATGCGGTCGCGGGGGGGAAGGGGGGAGGGAGGGTAGACGGCTCGAATGCGGCTGCCATATTTGTGCAAACTACCGGAGAGAGCTTTGCGCGCGCGAAGGGGAACGATGAAATCAGTGGAGCGACGGCGGGACGGGGAGTACAGGGCGAGCGGAACTCGTGCACGGCGGCGGTGGTGTCAAGGGGGAACTTTTCACAAACCCTTCTTTATCCGCCGCGCCGGGAAAGGCGTAGGAAGCTCGGCGGGGCGGGAGAGGGACGGAAAAAAAAAAGAATAAAATTGAAGAGACCTTTTGTGTTATTGGAAAAAGAAGCAAGAGGGTTTTCGCTCTAGTGTAAAGAGTGGGCGGCCATTTTGTGAAAAGGTCTTTTTTTTTTTTCAATGTTCCTCGGCCCCTCTGTATACACACACACGCAGCGTGTACACGTCTTCCATGGGTTTAGGTTCGATTTTTTCTGGACCCCTGCGCAACTCAACCCTCCGCCACGGTCACACCTCTCTCCGGCCGTCCGCCGCCACGCTGTTCGGGCGATCGTTTTGTTTACTACCGGTCGGACGGGCGGGCGACGGGGAGAGAACCATCAGCCTTGTGTGTGTGTGTGTATGTGTGCACGAGAGTGCGCGCGGGGTGAAGAGGCGGCGGGGCGTTCGTGTTCACACACCGGCTCAGTCGACGACTCCTCTTCAGTGCTCTGTTGGTCTTCGTCGTTTCGTTACGCGGCCCAGTACGTTACTTGCGCGCATTATTATTATTATTATTACACATTTTTCATTTCTACGTTTAGCGTGTCCGTGTGTTTTCGTTGCGAGTGCCTTCGTGTTTGTGTTTTATATTATTTTAACGACGACGTGTCCCGAGTGCTCGATTACAGTTTTGTGCGCGCCTGTGTTTCGAAATATATAATCGTTCGAAAAATTGTTTTTTTTCTTTTTGTTCACAAAAACGTGGTCGCAAGTCGTTCGAACACGCGGACCGAGTTCGGGAATCACGCCGGTCGATAATAATAAGTAATATACGTGTGTGTATATACTCGTACATATAAATATATATATATATATATATATTTATATATTTATTGTTATCAGATATTTAAACGTCGTCCGTTCGAAAAACCGAGTGACGTTTTGATTTCGCGGCCATGAGCTGCTAACGTAACATGTACGCCGCAGCTACGATGAACGCAGCAGCTGTAGCGGCCGCTGCCCGGCACCCGGTAAGTGTTAACGGTTTTCTTTTGTAGTAAACCTTAAGGTTTCAATTACTATGAATTTATACCATAATTATATTATATACATACTTCACGGTTGAAAAAAAATGTATCGACAAGCGAGTGCGCCGCGAGAGAACCTTTGAACTATTGGCACATTTCCACGGCTATTTAGATAACGGACGTTTTACAATATTATTATTACACCGCGCGTTTGTGTGTGTGCGCGTTCGTCAACAGCGTATTCCAACCATCGTGTAGTGTGTGTGTGTATACCGAGTGTGCGTGTGTGCGCGCCATCGCCCAGAGCAATGAGTATTTTTTTCCCTTCTTTAAATCGGTTTTCTAACGGCCGATCGGTTCGTGGTTTTGGGCACCACTGCCCTCGTGCCGGACCGCCCGCTAACCCTGTACGCGTCGTCTAGGGCGAGCAGTGAGTGGAGGGAGTGAAGGACCCCACACCGGTTTCTCGTGCGAACCCGGCGCGCACACAATGGGTACCCCCCGGAGGTGCATAGGTTGAATTTGTAATAAAAACTTGTCTACGGCGGCGGCGGCGGCCGAGTACAACAATAATGACGACACTCCGTGTACCACCATAAAAATATATTAATGATATAAACCCGGATTTGTGTTTGTGTGTGTTGTGTAAAATCTGAAATAACACTAAATTGGTTAAAAAAAAGAAATAATAAGGCTAGAGTATAATTGACATATTTTGTTATAATAAAAAGTGTTGTGTGTACTTAACGACGCGGGGTCGTATATTATTTTTAAATCTGGCGGCACTCGACGTGCCCGTCGTCGATTTTGTACGCCTGCAGAAGTGTTTGCGAGGGTCTGAGCGACGAGTAAGAGGAGGAGGAGAGGTTAAACGACAAGGCGCTTTATATAATCTCTGTGTGCGTTTTCGTCGAGCCGTCGTTTGCTTTGGCTCTCGGGGGCCGACCCGCCGCTAATTATAGTCATGACAACTCGACACATACAACGACTGTGTGTGTGTGTCGTTCATCTTTACGGGAGCGACCGCGTGGTGTGAGGTCAAAATGACGTAGTTTTGAAAAATGTTTACACACGGACGCGTTTCGAAAATTTACCGGTTTTTTTTATGTATTATAATTTTTTTTATTTCGAACGCACGTATTGCCTGACGCTGAGTTGGCGGTGTGGATAAGCGGTCGTGTGCGTGGAAGGGAGAAGACGCCGGTAGTCGTTTTCGTCGCTGAGTAGGTACATAATATATATATTATTATGTGCACTGTGTATATTATAATAGATAATATCGACGGTTGTGTGTATACGTTGTCCGGGCGCGGCCTCCTCTTCATTAACGACACACAATCGCGTGGCCTCGCCATAATTAATTCGCCGCCACCGCCGACGTTTAGACACGATTTCGGCCGACACACCATCAAAGTATACTACCCGGCCGTCGAGTGCACTTGTCCGAGTGAATGACACTTTAAGTACGAGGCAAAAAAAAAAAACCAATTAAAACTTTTCAATACACCAAACGTTTTCGAGGTCCACAGACTTGAGAGATTAAGTGGGTGTGTGTTGCTCAACTTTTTTTTGTGTTTATATTTTAACGTGTTGTGACACCGTAGTCTGTTACATTGTTATCATAGCGTGACTTTTTTATAATAATATATATATCAACATGAATTACAATCGTGTACGATAGGTGGTTAACAAAAAAAGAAAAAAGTAGTATCATCCAATGTGAAAATCCGTCGGGAAAACGTTTGGTCCCCGGCAACAAATGAACGAACCTACTATATAGGTGTATTTATATAAAATAAACTACGTTTATTTTCATTGCAGTGGCGGCGGCGGAGGAGGCGGTTACGGGTTGTGAACTTTTACACAGCTAATTATACCGTGGATCCGTTTCGATCCATTGGTCTGAAGACCGTGACAAAGTCGCGTCCGTTCCCGTTGTGCCGTCGCCTTAGCTATTTTTTTATATATATATATATATATATATATATATATATATTATACATTTCTAGCTCTTTTTATTTTTTTAAATTCATTATCGAAATTAACGATTATTTCATAGAGTGTACCACGCCGTCGTTTGTATTTCCCCTACTTCGGCCTCCGTCTGTCGATAATGAGGTTCATCATAATGATAACCCGACTTCTCGACGGCCAATTCTCACGGTATAATTTATCGTAGGAGAAAGGTTTTTTCTCCTTGCCGTTGACCGAGAACGGAGGTGAGGAGGGACTGTCACGGTTCGCGAGCGAAAAGCAAAGAGCGTACAGTCCCGGCCTGGTTATCTCTCGGCGGCGACACAACAGCCCTCCCCTTACGACCGTCGTCAATCCCGAACGGCTACTGCCGGTGCACGCCTGTAGGTTTAAGCCGTCCGTTGGCGTTTCGTATCAAATCGCCGGGTTCGATCACACAGCGGAATAAATCAATCGTAAATCCTCTCTGGACGCATTGGTTGGTACGACTCCGTGCATATCCTGCCCGCGTGCGCCGCACCCTCCGTGGTCGTGTGTGACCCTCCTGTCTATATGTTCTGGTACCGCATAACATTATAATAATATTATAATGTACTATGGGACGCGCGCTTGCAGTAGTGTTGTCGTTATAACACGACTTATACACGCACTCCGGGGGAGGAAGAGTAGTAAGGAGAAGGGGGTTCCTAGTCTTTAAACGCCCCCTCCTCATCGCCCACACACACACACACAAACTATATCTGCACCTTGTATCGTCACGCATCAGTGTTGCGCGTTCGTCACGCGAACAGCTCGGAATTTTTTACGCTTGTATATACAATAAATTGTGTACCGCCTCGCGCAGATATATTATCTGTCCGGGATATCTCCAATTATTTCCCTATGTAACCGCGCGTAAAGGCAGCCGCCGCCGTGAAATCCAGCTTGTCGCGTTTTTATGGAGATTTCCACGGCAGACGACCCGTTGCAAACCGTTGTTGTTATATATTTCTATATAACAACGTTGTGTTTTATGTGTGTGTGTATACACCCGCAGACCACACACTCTAACGGCGACCATACATCCAATTCCGCCGGCGTTATTCTCGGGTTGTTTTCGTTTTCCGGTAAAAAAAAAAAAAAATTAAACATAATACCGAACCTGCACCCCTCTACGACAGGGTCTCCGCCTTGAGAAGGATTACAAAAAAAAAAAAAAATTCTATAATCTTTTGAGGTTGTGTAAACATGCGGAACGTCGAACGAGGGTGCGCGGAAGGGGGAAACGCATAATACTCTTTGTATAACAAACGGCTGCGAAAAAATGAAACCTTTGTGCGTTGGTCTTTTCTTTTCGTCCCTCCCTCCGTACCTTGCTCACCTGCCCGTCGACTTGAAAATAATAATAATAATACCTCGAAGGAATGCTCTAACGGGGGGGGGGGGCGGATTAGTAGGTCGTTGTATTTTTATTACTATTTTTTTTTTCGGTGGGGTATCATTAAGTCACGTCGTCCCCTTTTCGTTATTATATCATCCCGTCGGCGTTTACGATAATTATTATATACCCCGGACGTTTAAGTGTGTATTAGGTGGTACTACTCGAGGCGCACGCATAATGTAACCGGCCTGTTATAACTAGGTTTTTTTTTATTCGTTTCTTAATGACCACAACCGCGATTCTATACGTCTTCGTAATGCCGCCACCGCCATAATAATAATAATAATGTAATATGTGTAATGGTAAACGCGCGACCGACTCGTGTTTCACGTTATCAGATGCCCATAGGTGTAGTGTTTGGCGTCGCCAAATACCGGTATGAGTGTGTAAGAGAGATGGTCGGTAATAGGCAACTAAATATACACGGGCGCGTTTCACGTCCGATAAATAATAATAACAGAAAAATATATTTATATACTTATTATTACTATCCATTCCACACGCAAACTCAACGACGTCCATGGTATTAAAGTAAAAAAAAAAAACAGAGAGAATATTTTATAGGTGTGCCCCGCAGACTGCCGGCCAAACCGGTCCGGTAGTATGTGTTTATATAATATTATATACATATATAACCACTGCGGGATAGTAATAATAATAATTATTATTATTATGGAGAGAAAAAAACATACGGCCGGTCGACGGCCTTCGGGCTAAGCGGCTTCTGTGCGTGTGCGTTAAAGAACACTTGTTTTTATTTCCCCTTCTCCCCTATCCCTCCCCCACCATTACCTTAGAAGTTTCCTGAGCATACTTAAGGAGTCATTTTCGGTCGATTGCTTCCTCCGTGTGTTTTGCGACTCGTAACGACGTTTAAACAACGTTGTTATATGTGTTTAGCGTTGATTGGTAAATCTAATTTTTTTTTGTCAAAACCCGTGTGGGATTACATTTATCACATGCTTGAAATTTCTCTAAAAAAAAGTATTGATCATATTCATACGACAAATATTCAATAAAATAATGCTCCCTGCGATTACTATGACATCGCAGATAACATACAAGGGCACATTTCACCGTTAGTTTTCAAAAATTACTCCTTTGAAGCTTGAATAATAGTGAAATAATTGCAGTACGATTTTAAACCAAAACAGTGTACCTTAAAATATCACATTAATCCAAAAAAACGAGTAGAAATTACAGTGTCTGGTTTGCGTAAATTAAAATGAAAACTTTATGGTATTTCCGTACCATTTAAATATTATAGGAGTCGTAATCCAAGCGAATTCGTTTATGTTGATATAAATATTATAGTAAAATTTGAGAGAAAACCAGCTGATGGAGCCATAAAACACGAAGTAGTCGTTTTAGGGACCTTTGTAAAAATATAATGTTATAAAACTGTCGTTAAACCAATTTTTATTCGGAATTGTGATTTTTTTATAGGTTTCCCATTCTCTCTCCCGGCTCCCCTCTTAATACTTACAGTTTTCTCTGTCCAGAACATTATACACACACAAACTCATAAACATTTAAAACTACTCTCTTCGTCTCGAGACCCCTTTTGCTGGAAACGAGTCTTGATAATATTATACCTACCTACTTGGGTGCTATATATTTATATATATATATTATACTACTTCCTCCCTCTTGTTTTACAATTAATGTTAACTACTTGGTAAGTACCTACTACAGCGGCGCACGTCTACAACATGGCGTTTTCCCTCGTCAAGACTATTAAAAAAAAAAAAAAAATATATATATATATATACCTAACATATATAAATGTACTAAATTACTAAATAACAGCACCTCTTACTTATACTATTATAACAATAATGAACGTTGTTGTACCCGCTGGTGTCCGTCGGCGATGGATTTCGTGACTGAGCGGACCATCTAGTGCCGCGGTCATTGCACGTGTACTACAATAATGGTCTTGGACACGATGATGTAGAGGGGAGGGTATGAGGGTGGGGGTAGGGAGGGAGGAGAGAGGTAGGAGGATTTTCTTTGCGGCTGCCGCAGACGTGCGGGTCGCGGCAAAGAAGCGCACTGCCTGTTGCGGTTTGTGAGTATGGTCTCCTTCCCTCTTGTCCTCCTCTCACCAGCGGTGTTGTGCCGAGGGCAGTTTAAAGTGGCAATTAGCGCCTCGACGACCGTTTATACACTCCCAAATCGGATTGTGTGTGGGACGACCGCCTTCACAATTGTTTTTAGAATATAATATGGTCGATACGCACAATAATATGTAATTATTATTGTTATGTCGGCCCCGAAAGTAGATGTAACGTCGGGGATAGACGAAATAATAGTCCCGCATGGTAAAATGTATATTTAGCGTTGTCCAAGTAAATATAGCATTAGTGGGTCCACCACTTGTATACTAAATGTTAATTCATTACGCTGTTCGGAAGTCGCTTACAAAAGACACCGGCCAATGTGATAACCTTTTTACACAAAAAAACAATTACCTACTTAATAAAAAAATATAGCAGACTTTTTAACCCATGAAAGATAACACTATTGACAACGTGTGTCGAATATAAATACATATATTTTTTTATTCGTTTTTAAATACCGATAAAAGTGTTAATATTATGTTTGATTTTTTTTTTTGCACGTTAAACGTTGACTGTAGAATTGACTAAAGTGCGTTTGCGTTATGTTCAGCGCACGCTAACAGACAATGATTTACTATTATACCAGGCTCTCTTAACTAGCGAAAACGTGTAACGACTCTGAATAATGTGTGTAGTGTTGTTACGCGCCGTCTGTGCCGGAGTAATGATAATTGATAAATTAATGGCGCTGTTGTTGCGCAAACGTGTAAAATTAGCGAATCAGTTGTAATTATATTGTTTAAGAAACGTGTTCAGTTCGACTACACGGCTGGTCGTATTATAATTACGTGTGTTAAACGGTTGCAAGTTGCGCACTTGCATACAATCCACCGGGCTCGAATACTTGAGTTGGCTCTGCAACTTTTGATTTCATTTTGAAACGTTCTTCCCGCACTGGTTTTTTTTGCCCGGGCCATCGGCTGACAGTATAATCTAAATAATGTATACCACTGCTTATTATTGTTATTATTATATATTTTATGTTTGGACGTTTCGTCACAGGCTGCTGCCGAACTGTAAAAGTGATTTCACAACGTCAAAAGCGACGACGACGACGTTACGCTGCGCCGACTAGTGTCAATAATTGTACTTTGTCACAATTCGAAAACGCTTAAAGTCTAATAGTAATCCGACGGCATAATAATAATAGTATGAATAATATCACACGCCGCATACACACATTTCACACTCCAGCACAGGCGGTAGCCCTGTACATAATATATGTATACAATCAGAACCGATGATATGAATACATTATTATCATGTGTAATGGCCGGCGACAGATATCTTTATTGAACACATTATAGCCGCCAGCACGCGTTCCAGACAGGTCGTCCCACATATTATATAACATTTATAATCAATTTGACGGTCAACGTCTGCCTCCCCTCGTCCTCCTCCCCTTCGTGTCCGGTAGGTACATTATACAGCATTTATGACGGACAGCCCGACCGTATACAAAGTGTATTCATCGACCTGACACCTTTTAAAGTCCGTGTAATTTTGGAATTTAAAGAGTTATTGTTGTACACAATATAATATGTAAAAAGAAAGAGAAAAAAACAATTATGTAAACTTTGTGTCGCGCGACATGAAGTCTGCGAACCGTCGTCCAACATATACATATATATATATATATAATATGGACATTATTATTATTCTAAAAATAAGTATTATCCGCCGAGATATAATATATACACGCAATGGCCTGTCGCAAACGGTTTTTTGTAACGGTTATCGTAACAAAAAATTTTGTGACATTCCGTCGGTTAACTAACAATCATCGATCGGCTCGCCGGCCAGAACGAACGATTTACGGTTTTCGACGTTTTTTTTTCCTTTTGCCTTTGCCGCAATAGCATACATGCACATAATAATATATGCTAAATAATTAACATTAACGCGTCAAGCGTGTTTTGACATATAATAGTATAATAATTGTTATAATTATCGACTGCTTAAGCCGCGTTGCTAATAGCTCTCGACGGACCCGCGAAGTTTCGCAATACAAAAAAAAAAAAATAGATATAAATTAACAGTTTTTAAACGCTTGCCCTTCACTGATTACAATTCCTGGTTAATTTTTCTTAGTTTGTTTGCTTATTATACAAACGCAAACAAACTTTGTATCGATGACATAGTGCATAGAAGCGTAAGTGCCCTTTTGTTAGTTTTGTTAATTGTACAGATATTTCACGTACCCACACACCATTACATGTAATTAAATATTAGATTGTGTGTGACGTATAATATCAAAAATTATGAATCACTGGCTTCCAATACTTGTGTACAATGTGTAGGATCGATTATCTATTGGCTAATAGACGGTCGATTTTTCTCAAAAATATTCACACATCACATCTGTGCATTATGCCATCGATATGAGCATTAATACAATTTACTGTCGTTTATGGCTTTTTTATTTATTTGCATACGACCGTAACCGTTCTATATTGGCTGTTACTTCAACCCTAATAAAAGCGAAATAGTTTTCAGATGAATAGTATAATATAAAGGTTCCATATTATATATTATACCTATATAACTTTTACACTTAAAATTAATACTCACTGAATGATTTGTATTTCCAACTAGTATATTTTTTTAAAATTTATGGTGCAGTATGGAAATTTGGGAAATTCTTCTAAAGAATTATGTTAAAATATTTAATGTTATAAAATTAAAGATTTAAATTACTATAAGTGGTAAAATATTTTATATAATATTAATCGTTAGGTCCCTTTAAGTATAAGTATGCATTTGTGTTTTGGTATAATTCCATTGAAATCATTTAAATCATACATTTATTAATTATACACAAATTATAATTGTTATTGAACCATAAATTACACATTAGGGTCGATTTAAAAGAATGCAATTATTTATCTATAAGTTGGCTCTTTATTCTACTTATTCTAGATCTTAATATTATGCTAATATTCATAAATCAACATACTTGTTGTATAACCTAGTACAAGTACAAGATTACAGTAGAGGGATCCCTACTTTTCTTATAATTGCTTTTCATCTATTAATACTATTTATTAACTCTCAGTTAGGCACACAAGGTAAAAATGTATCCCAGTAATTTCATATGGGCGTGGGGTACATTTTATACCAGTCGTATATCTGTCTATCGTTTTCACAGTTATGTCTTCATTTTCTTAAGTGGATTTATTAAAGTTTTGAGGTAAAATTAAAATAGAAGTAGATTTAATGAGAATGCCAAAATAGATGTGTGTATTAACAATAAACCTAAATTATCATTAGGAAGGATTATAGAAAATGTAGCTTAGAAGTTGCAGAAAAAATGAGGGTGGATAGATTGAGACAAACGGCAAATCACTATTGTTGTATAGTAATACCTTAGGATCCCCGGAGGTTTTCAAAAACTTGTAAGCTGATTGTCGATAGTGATTTACCCACTGGACTGAGATGATTTGGGGATGTCAAACGAGAATAGGACAAAGAAATAGGTAGCGAAGAGTGAGGATGAAAACTTTAGTACGCGTCTCTCGATTTCTATGTGGCTACTTTGGATTAAGTATTGGCGGTCAGGATCTCTCGGCTCATCATTCCGATTGTCTACTAGTCTACAACGCCGATTCCCGGGTAATGTCTTTGCATTCCCATCTATAGAGGTTGGGTCAGGTTATTCAGAAAGCCGACTGCAGCAATTGCAGTATGGAGCAACTGTCAACGGCCGTGTTAAAAATGATTTTCTATGCGTGTGTTCAACGGTCCGGTGCGAACAACGCGGCGCTGTTGATGACCTTGCAGAGTTTTTTTTTTTTTTGCAAACGTTTTTACACGGTTTTTACACGGCCGATGTGTGCGCGGGGTGAACCTATACAGCATATGCCGTGCCCGGGGTTGCGAAAACCGCTTCACGGGCTATTTGCGCGGTGTGTCGTATTACGTGTCACGTGTTTTTCTTTGTGTGTGTGTGTGTGTGCGATTTTTTTCCCTCTCGCTTGTGACGAATAGGTAGGTATCCGCGAGCGATTATAACCTTAAAGAAAAATAATCTAAGAACGTGTTGGCGGCGGCGGCGGTGTACATGTGAAAAATGATTTTCCGCGGCCACGAGACCTCGGGCCGCCGCCGCCGCCGCCGCCGCTATAGCCGTTTCACAACACCCGTGAAAGGCGCAACACACAAGGAGGTGTGCACCCGAACCGGTCCGCGGTGGTGGAGGAGGCTGTTTTCCCGTGGTGGTGGTTGGCGTGCACCCGCTTTTCCGGCCGCTTTTCCCACCACCGGCTGCATTTACATTTTCATATATAAACTCGGGACAACCGCCAAACTATTATCAATCTTCACTTGTGTGTTTTATTACAATAACGTGCCAAAATGGGTTTCATTACTGCTCCGCTGGTAAGTAAAATAATAATATAACATTTTATTTTATACACTTGCACATGTTTTCAACAAGTATTTATATAATATTGTGTCCGGTCATACCGTTTCGTTGCCGCACTTAAAGTTTTCACCCGGTCAGCGAGAATATCGTACTCTCTTAAAACTTTCGTAATAACAAAGTCATAAGTAATAAAGTCATTTTTCTTTTTTTTGTCGTTACACCGTCGCTGCTACCGCACAGACCGGTGAGCTAAATCGTGGTCTTAAGTGAATATCGACTCGACCGCGAGTACTTTCAGCGTACAGTGTACGTAAACGGTTTTTTCTTGTTTTATTACAGTTTCAATACGTTTTTATTAGTCTGAGCCCGTAAAACTCTCGCTGCCGTATATATTGTCGACCCGCGTGGGTATATAATAATATACAGTACTTCATACCGTCGTGGCCGTGTAAACAGCCTGGTTTCTTTTTCCCGCCTTGGCTTATAATCTGCCCCCTGGGGGGTGGCGAACACATAACTGCGAGCAAAAGGGACGCTCTACGTTGCGGGTCGTAAAGTACACGGGTCTGCGTCGTCCATCGTAAAATAAAAAAAAAATACTTACACGTATAAAAAAAAGCACAAACCGGTCGTAAAATTTTATGGAACATAAGTAGAGTTAGCTTTTTTAATGGTTTTCAAATAATTTGTTCGAGATTTTACGAGTTTTCGGCGGGAGATTTTTATCGGCATCCCGATTTTTCTTTCGTTTGAGTGTAAGAGCGCTAGCCGCCGGTGTTAACCGGCTTACGGGGGCGGCGCTGCAGTGTGTACCGGAAACAATACGATAACAAAAAGAAAAGAAAAGAACAAACCGATTAAAATGTTTTTACAGATAACTATCGCGTGTTTGGTCTGCTATTTAACATCTGACGCGGCAGCCAAATTAGACAATGAAGTAGCAGAAGGGTAAGGGTCGATTGACGTTATTGTTTTTGTTATTATCATCGGTAATCTTTTTATTATACATGATGTATGTTGATTGGGTTTTTTGTAGAGTCATAAAGCACACCCATTACCATACCGGAGACGTTGAACACGCGCATAAACACGACGGAGAGGCACACCACGAGCATCACCACAAGGGTAGCGCTGAACACGCCCATCACCATGGTGGTGAGTTCGGCCATGGACATCACCACGGCGGTGAGTTCGGTCACGGACATCAACATCACGGTAGCGCGGAGCACAAACATCACCACGGCGGTGAGTTCGGACACGGACACAAGCATCACGGTAGCGCCGAGCACAAACATCACCACGGCGGAGAATTCGGCCACGGACATCACCACGGAGGTAAATTCGGACATGGACATCATCACAAGGGAAGCGCCGAGCACGCCCATCATCACGGAGGAGACTTCGGACACGGACATCACCACGGCGGTAAATTCGGGCACGGACATGAACATCACGGAAGCGCCGAACACAAACACGCCCATCACGGTAGTGCGGACCACAAACATCACCACGGAGGAGAGTTCGGCCACGGACATCACCATCACGGTAGCGCCGAGCACAAACATCACCACGGCGGAGAGTTCGGACACGGACACCATCACGGTGGTAAATTCGGTCACGGACACGAACATCACGGAAGCGCCGCACACAAACATCACCACGGTGGAGAATTCGGACACGGACACAAACATCACGGTTCTGCCGAACACAAACATCACCACGGCGGAGATTTCGGACACGGACATCACCACGGCGGCAAATTCGGACACGGACACTCGCACCACGGTAGCGCCGCGCACAAACATCACCACGGCGGAGACTTCGGACACGGACACCATCACGGCGGTGAGTTCGGCCACGGACACGCCCATCACGGTAGCGCCGAACACAAACACGCCCACGGTGGTGAGTTCGGACACGGACATCACCACGGCGGTAAATTCGGTCACGGACATCACCACAAGGGAAGCGCCGAACACGCTCATCACCACGGTGGCAAGTTCGGCCACGGTCACGAACATCACGGAGGCGCCGAACACGCACACAAACACCACGGTAGCGCATCCCACGGACATCACCACGCCGGCCACTCGAAACATCATCATAAGCACACCGTATAAGCCGACGACGATGGTTCCCAAAAACGACGGCGCTCATACTACCGCTACATTTGGCATTGACTCCATTACGGTGAAGGATTTCGGTTTGTTTAATAATTTCCAATTTTCTTCTTCCGCCTTCCTCTTTCTAGTCATTAACATTCTTCCTCTTTCTTTACCATCTACACTCGCAAGAAACTAACTCTTATTTTCATTTTCTGCCTCTTTCGTTCCTACTCTGTATTTATATATATTTATAAATATATATATATACATATTGTATAAACTCTCGTAATGGTACCACCGAGTATCGTGGCCTTTATCGTCCTGTACTACTTATACTTACTATACTCTAATATCATAAAATTGTACATGTGTTCTGTGATAATTTTAAGAGATCGTGGTAATAATATATCATATGTTATGTATTTTTATTTTAAATATTATTATTATTCTTTGTTATTAATTGCTTTGTAATCGGGTTTCTTGATATTATTATCGTTTTATACTGTTTTATATTTGATTTCTCTTATTACTCTACTAGAATTTTAGTCTAATCAAAATTGGCGGTGTAATTTCCGGTTTCTTGTATTTTATTATATGGAAGACATTTTGTATTATATACTTACAAATATATATGTATATTGTAATATTATATTGTTGCAAGTGTCTGGTTTTATTATTATTATTTTTTTTTGTTATTAAAATATTATTTTTGATTACAATATGTCGTTACAATGTTTTTGATCGTTTATCGCTAATCGCCAGCCGAGGCATACGCAATATACAACACAACACGCAATGGTGCAAGCGCAATTTATACCTTATTGTAATAATAGTGGCAAAAGAAAAAAATCGTGTAATTTCCCCCAATAGCAGCCAGCACTAGCCAACTGCGGCAGCGCAGCGGCGGGTAGCTGTGTTTGTGCATTTCACTGCGCCACCATTATATACTATACTATTATCATGATTATGTTATGTATATTGTATAAAGGTATAAATGATTTTTATGTAATCGAGTACGCCGATAAAGGTGACAAAAAAAGGGTTGTTTTTACATATTCACGTACTAGCATCACACTCGACTGTTTAGCTGCTCGCACACAAACACACGGGCTGAGGAACGGCTGCGTGTGCATTGGGCCAGTAATTATTAAAAGAATATTTTACTGTTTAACCGCGTTCCTGTTCAGGTCGGGGTTATTAGACCGTTTAGCCTTGTTTGCTGTCGTCGTCGTGCCGCATTGGCCGCCGCAATAGTTACCCGTGTCGAATGATTATTCCATTTATTATCCTTATTATCATCATTATATTATCGATGTTTTTTTTTATCTCCCTAAAAACACGTAATACTACCTTATGAAATTCATCATGTTATTATCATTATTTGTATCACCACGTCTGACGTCATAGTTATTTATTGTTGTTTTTTTTTTTTCGCAGGGCCCACCGCAACCGGGACAGCCGTTCAAGTTTACCATTGGCGAATCATGCGACAGGATCAAGGAAGAATTCAATTTCCTCCAAGCTCAGTACCACACGTGAGTCTATAAATTCTAATGAATAACGTCGGTTGGACCGATAATTATTATAAACGGGGGTTAAAAAAAAAAAAAAAAAATGATGTACCCGTAGGAACAACATTTATACATTTTCATTTATTGACAATAAATTAGTATAAAAACTATAGTCTTTCTGTAATATTTTTTTTATTTTTTAAGAACTTCCACTTTTCGTGCTAGTTCCCTGCCCTGGGGGGGAGGGTTGCGGGTGTCAAAACCTCGACGATGGGTACAGTATATATGTTGTATATATGATGTATATCACGTTTTCAGCTTGAAAATGGAATGCGAAAAATTGGCCAGCGAGAAAATCGAAATACAAAGGCATTACGTAATGGTGAGTGAGCGTGAAGGTCCCGGACAATTAATTATACATATTGTATAGCATGAACGCGACCGCCTGTATACGCAACGCTTAAGAGCCACTGGCATTAATAATAATAATAATAATAATATTATTATTACTATTATTAGTGCCATTATTATTATTATTATTACCACCACCACCACCACCACTAAGGTTACGATTGCCGCCGACCGTTATAGTAGTATGTACATTGACGAAAAAAACCCTTAATGCGGGGCACGACACGAGCCCTTGCCGAGCCCGTAATGTTATTACTTATTAGTTGTCCCATTCATTCCAAAAGCTGCAAACTCGTATAATTATACACATATTATAACGATCAGTTGTTATCGTTTTATTTGTAATCATAATCATAATAATAATAATAATTAAATAGTAGGTTAAAAAAAAAAAAACATTTATTTTGGCATAAAGCGCCGAGTATTGGTGCGTTAACGTGTTATTTATTTTTGGTTTGCAAATAAAAAAATATAAATAACCATTGTGTGTGGGTGTACACAAATACAATAAAATCCATACTATCGGGCAAATACCAAACATTTGTTTGGCTTAAAGAGCGTTTTTTTCCAACTCTGAAATAACTAGATTTTTATGATCTTAAGATGATTCAAGTAAAAACTGATAATATTAATGCAGATTTTTAGTAATTCCTATTATGACATAACTAGTATACTATAGATACATCCTGTAAATGATTTTAAAGACTATTTAAATCACATCGCTAAATACTAACAACATAACACTATTATTATTATGATTATTATTATCATTGCAAATTACAATAATAATATTCAAATCTCGAGGAAAACAAACATTGTGTGTCTGTGTGTGTGTATTTTAACTCTCATTGTTTGCATTGTGGGTTATTATAATAATATATGCGTGCGTATGTGATTAAAAAGGTATTCGGGTATTCACACAATAATATACATCCCGGGCATCATTTTTTTTTTATGTCTGTATCATTTAATTATTTTTTTTTTTTTTAATATTCATTTTTTTTTCATTTTTACTAACATTGCTTGTTTTTTTTTTTTTGGGTTTGTTTTTGTTTGTCCCTCGCCATCAAAACACAGTACCAAAATGGAAGTCGAAAAAATCGTTCAAGAAAAAACCGAAATGCAAAGGCATTACGTAATGGTGAGTAGGGGAGGCAAAGACGTATGAGTTCACCGGCTTTTTCTTCCTATAATATTATTATTACTGTATCTAATATACATAATAATACACTGTTGTGTATATTGTACATTCTTGTGATTTCGGTTAATTTGTACATTGAGCTTATCAGCTGGCTTTCGCATGACACATGTATATGACTTGTTATCTATCATTCATGGTTAGGTTAATTGTTTGCATGTTTCTGATTGTCAACGGGTTATGACAAATGCCTAAGTGTGTTTATTTAAATCGTTTAACTAAAAATGCGTTGCGTATATATATATATATCAATTGTTTTTTTGCTTAACACGTAGATAACATAAAAAGCAAAGTACTTAAAAATTAAGTGCCGAATAAAAAAAAAAACAACAAAAATATAGCTCAGAGATATTTTTTTATTTGATTTATTGTTTAAACGTCGCTACAGTTCTGTCTGTATATGATTTGTGGTATTATGTTTTTTTTTTAAACCAAAAGTAATTTCAATTGACGTTCAATCCGCCACATGTGTTGTTTACGCACATAAAAACGTGTCTTTAATATACTTTTTTTTATTTGTTAACGAAAATCCGAAATAATAATACAACTCAAGGTGTGTTGTGTGTTTGTATTTGATAGAGTTCATAAACAAAAGTACTCCGAATCAACACAAATTGTTTGCTTTGTTTGTTCAATTGGCAAATTGTAAATTAATAATCTATATTCGTCCGTGTCGATTTGATATATTTAATAAATTAAACAAATACCTTATCGGGTTTGCATCAAAAACAAATATCTTTGAGCTCTTTAAAAAAAAAAAAAAAAATACCGGGTGAACCATTTAACGTAAGGTACTCATTCTATCGTATAATAATTATAATTTTGTACAATTATCTACGCACATTACTCAACCGCCCTCCACCTTCCATCTTAAATTCTAAACTATAATACCTGCGAAAAAAGATAAATATTTGATAGTTATATAATATTCTACAATAACATATGTAAAAATGTTTTCACATAGAAAAACCATAAAATTTCCTTGATTTTCCGAGAAAATTAGTGTGTTACGTTAAATGGATCACCTGTACATCTAAAACGTTATAAAACCTATACAGGGTCTTTAAAATGTATATATTGAAAACTATTGTGGGTGTTTCGAAAAGTGACAATTGTTATTTTACTCATTACTTTAATTATAAATATATTACTTTTTCTCGTTTGTATTTAAATGATAACTTTCGATTTCTTTCGAAGGCCCTGTATAGGCAACATATTGCGGTCAGATAAAATATACTCTATGCGTCTGACATTTAACATATTGTTTTCTATGCATTTTTTACAGTATTACGAGATGTCGTACGGGCTCAACGTGGAAATGCACAAACAGGCAAGTGATTTCAGTAGTTATAAAAATAATGAACACATTTTTTTTTTTTTTCAATTTTCCATTCCCTCGTCATCGCCACTGCTACCGTTAATGTCGACAATAACACATTCCGAAACGTTTTGTCGTCCGTCGCCCTTCTCTCTTTTATCGACGCCCTTATGGCGGCCCGCACACAGCTCTCGTTCGGATTAATTTTTATTTTTGTTATTCAAATCCCGTTACGACCGTGCAAATTTCTGGAAAAGGGTCGTTAAAACCGTCATTCGACCGAATTAATATTGCGTTTTGTACCGCACCACCGTACAAACGGCCGTCGAGGGTGCGACTTGGATTGCAGCAGGCGGCGAAGGGGAGCGAGTAGCTCTTCTTCTTTAGTTCTCTTACCGCGCTGTTGCTACGTTGCACCCTATTATTGTGCCGCAGTTGTAAATTCATTTTGGAAAAGTAATCGCCCGGACCATTTTTCACCCCTCGCTTTGCTTTTTATTATTATTGTTATTCAACACAACGTAATCTTTCCCGACCCCTCCTGGATTTTTTTTCCCCCATTCTATATAACGAGTTCCCGATTAACTCCGCCTCTATTATAATATCCGGATAATAGAAACTAGCCCCCCCCCCCCCCCCGAAAAAATCCCTCTTCAGGTCCTGCATAATCCTAAATACGGTTATATATTAATAATATGTGTGTGTGTGTGTGTATACTGTATAATATACGAATTTGTAAAATAGGGGAGACAGTGATTTCTCAACGACGAATCGAGTAATTGATTGTGTACGAGGATAACGGTTTTGAGTTTGACCGTGACTGCGTTTATTGCGCTTGGTTACGTTGTATCTCTTCTGTGTGTATAAAATAATAAAATGCAAAGGCTGTGTGAAACAGAAACAATACGACGAAAGGCAGTGCATATCAGACATTACCAATATTGTATAGAGTATAGTTATAAACGTTGGGCGCATGCATACTAAACTATGCGGTAAGACTGATCGGGTTGATGGACTCGTACCCAAATTTGATAACCAAAACACGACGTCGAACACCGACCTATATACCTAGAACTGTTAACGCTGATGTCATTTGAGACGTGCATGAGAACGCGTAATAAATAAATAAAAAATGTATAAAGCCAAGTGAAAGAATATGTGAAAAAAAGCTGTACACGTTAGCTCTTGTGCGTGTGTGTAAACCCTAGAGAGACCGACCGAGCTTATATATATATATATATAACGGGATATAGTTCTCTGGCTATTAAAACTCGGGGAGTTGGCACATATTACAAGGGTCGTTGGCGAACGAACGCACACGAGGATGGGTAAGGAGAGGAGCAGGAGTCGGCTGCGTCCCACTTGTGTCGAGTGGCAAAGCCCGAAGGAAAACATTATACCCGCGAAACACTCGAGCCTTGACGGTTTATCCACCCTCTCTTTCTCTTTTCATCCCTATTTATTTCCCAGTCATTCGACCGGGCGACAGAGGAAAGAGGGTGATAACACCGACACTCTCAGGTTTTTAACTCCCGGCCTATACAGCCCCTCGTGTAAACGACTGCGACGACTTTAAAGGGTGGCGTGTTCCTCGACAAAAAATAAGTATTATAAATAAAAAAACGGTTGTTAAGCCGTCTCTAATTATTTTTGCTCGTGTATAATATAATATACACGTTAAACGACAGCAGTGGTGACAACGACGAGGGCTTACTACATTCATACAAATATTAAATATATTATACGAATACCGTGTGCCAAGAGAATCGCATTAACATAATACATTATTTTTCTTTCTACAGACGGAGATAGCCAAACGTTTAAATGCCATTATCGCCCAGATAATGCCTTTCCTATCGCAAGAGGTGAGCATAATAAATGTTACACAATTGAATACGATCCGTGCAATATATTCTGGCGCATCCCAACCTATATCGTTAATGTTTTTGTTACAGCACCAACAGCAAGTGGCCACCGCGGTGGAAAGAGCGAAACAGGTGACCATGACCGAACTCAACGCCATCATTGGGGTAAGAATATTATAATAGCAACACTTATAGTAATAATAATAACTATTATTATTATACACGGTTATATATTGATAGTTTTTCTAAAATATTATTTTTGTATTACACTTTTATAAGTTTAATTAAAATTACAAAAAAACATCGCTATCTCTCTCCGAATGCAATTAAGACATTGTGGCCGGTGCGTTGTGAAATACCTTAGTAATATATTATACTATTATTAGAAAACGATGTACAAGCTATCTGAACGCGGGCCACAGTCGGTTTATAAGGGAATGCGGTTTTTACTTTCTTCACCCGCCTCTCGAAGTTAAGGCCATTCCGTGGTAGGGGAGAAGGAGTCGGAAATCGCACAGGATCCCATGTAGTCTGGTCACGTTTGTGTCGGAAGTTCGGCGTCGTCGTCGTCGTCATGTTGTATATAGCGTAACGCACGTTGAATATTGTATGAGCCTATTTGGGAGAAAGAGAGTATGGTTGCCAGGGAATTGTGTATATACCACCAGCTAACCTTATATAACAGCTAGTCGCGAGGGGAGGACTCGGTGGCGAGCGTCGTATAACGAGCTTGAACAATATTGTTCTCCTCCTCACGATCGTGTTCTGCGCCGTTATACTTACCGCACGTCTTCGCACAGGCCCCAGTTTGTGTATACAAATACATGACACGTTAATATAAATAATATAATGATAATCAGCTGCCCCGAGTCAATATCAGAGTTTGCGTGGATAGAAATTTAAAAAAACTACTGGGTGAAATCGTTTTTTTTACCCGGGAAAATATACCCAGTAAATTATAGTGAATTTGTATAGATAATTTATAGTATATACTATTAGTATGTATACTTATTGGGGGTTATGTTAATATACTTCACGATCAAGGTTATTAATATATAGGTGTACGATGGGGTCTGTGGTTTTTTTTTTATGTTTTCGGTTTGATTTGTTCCGGCGTACGCTCACTTGACGGTCTGTGAGTAATTTCCATAAGAAAAAACATTAAACCTTCGGGCTGAATTCACACATTTCACGAGCCGCCGCATATGATTACAAATGAATTTCCATAGCGAAGAGTTTAGTCACGGTTACCCGCCGGGGTTGTCTCGATTCGCCTACAACAATACCTACAACACCGATAACAATAATTATCGTGTTAACTCTATCGGCTGCGCTCTGTGTGTGTATAGGTGTATAATAATGTACCATACATATGTTAACCTTATATTATATTATTATGTTTTCCATGTAACCGAGTGCTCTGCTGGCGGTCGTCGACGCTCGTTTCTGCGCAAAGGGTCGTTTTAAATAATGACTACGCTTACTGCGAGAGATAGATGGTGTGTTGCGCTTATAAGAAGGGTCGGGTATTCACCGCGGGGGTGGTTATAGCGGTTATGAACGAGCTTCGAGGGGATGGGGGTAGGAAACGGATAGGGAGGCTTCCGCTAATTGCGCTCGTCGACTCTCCTAAACAAATGTTCCGGACGTGTGGTTTTTCTCAACGCACTTCGTTAGGCGGCGGCCGGTAATTATTATCTTCACTGTTATAGCCGTCGTTTTCTTCCCCTCGTTCGACGAAAGAACTTTTTTCTCCCTCATCTCTCGAGGGCAACATGATTTATGTACCGCAGAGAGTAGATACAAAAAATATATTTACACCGCCGTCTCCACTATATCCACGCCCCCCGCTTGGTTTCTCCGATATTCTTATCCTCGGGTGATTTACCGTTGTGTTATATTCATGTATACACACGCATTGTTTATTTTGCGTGTGCCTATAAAAAGTACACAAACTCGCGATTGAGCCAACAACCGCAAAGAAGTGGTAAGACACGCGTTTATTTTACGATTTTTTTTTTTTGTAACAAAACGCTGCGAATTTAATGGTATTTGCCTACAATAAAAAATAACCATCAAAATATATATGATCGCCCTGTTCGATTGGCGGATGATGACCGTCGTTTATTTGAGCGGTAAGGAAAGTGAGAAGCACTTTTGACTTCCTCGAGTAAAAACGTCCTGCTGTTGGCTGGACTTAAACCCTATACGAAGGCTTTTTATTTGTGCCGTTCGACAAGCGGTGTATGGATAGAAAGAAACACAAATTATGCCGAGAGGGACCCACGCCCGGTCGAACTCATTGTTGGTTTTTCGGTTCTTCAAAAGACTATCTCCATCCAACTTTTGTGTGCCCACCGGACAAAACTGTTTTCTGTTAAGCACTTTATGTAAAAAAAAAAAAACTCTGCCGGTAATGCCACTCGAGGTTTTTTATGTCGTGCGTGTGCCTCGAGTGTGTTTGAACAAAGCGGTTTGTTTGGCCTGGTGAATAATGTATTATTATATGTACGCTTATCTATATAGCGCGGTGGTGGGCGAGAGAAGGACGAGCGGTGTCGGTATTAAGAGGCGTCTATTACCGTTTGTCAAAATACACAACCGTAAGTGGTATGTACATAGACAAAAAAAAAAAAAACTAAAACGCACGTATTATATAGGTAATGGTGGATTTTACGCTGACGTGATCGACCACAATAATAAAAGTGTAGTAACTACCGAGTTCTGTGTTAATATTTGGTTTATATCATTATGATAAATCCTCCCCTCCCCCCTCCAAAAACACCGACGTGGCCCGTGTATATTATGCATAATGTAAAACTTTTATGCACTAATTTTCCGCAGCCCATATGTGTGGGTATAAGAGATGATTATAGGGCCGGAAAAAAGGACCTTGTATATTATGTATGTTATAATTATAAATATAATAAAATAAATATGTATAGGCGCCCATGACGTTTATTATATAGTATTTTTTTTATTATTTTTTAGCAACAACGGCCGGATCTGCCCAGGTTATTGGTAAGAACAATATCAGATTAATTAAGTATAATATTAACTAAAATTATTACCCTAAAGTATGCACCTGTGACGATGTTCGTTGAAACGGGATTTTTTGTCCAAAATTTAAGACTTTAAAAACCTCTACGTGTATACATATAGCAAGATTTTTAACGTAATTTTTTGTAATATTAAGTTACGAAATGTCAAACAGTTTTTGGGTTTCAATAGAATAAATCTGCGGTGCAGTCGAAAAGATCACTGTTATATTTAAGCTACCTAAAATGACTAGCCTACAAGAGCACACATTATTTGTGTATCGTGCAAGCTTAAAAGAGCACAGTGCACACTCGTGATTATAAGAAAATTATTTTCTTTATTCGATAGAATAATTTTAAAATCCATTTTCACATTTATTAAACTTAAAAATCAGTTTACACTTTGTTAAAATTGGCTAAAATAATATTCATATTCTACATTTTGTGCTCTTTTTTGGGTTATAAAAAAAACCAAATGTGTATGCTCTTCGGGTAACCCCCGACTCAGTGTACAGTGTAAAATATAAGGTTTTATGAATTGTCTGTTTCAGCAACAAATGCACGCCCAGCAACTACCGCATGCAGCGGCTCACGCACCACCTATACCCATGATGCCCCATCCAGGTCTGCCTGGTCCCCCGGTGACTGCGGCCGCTAGCCTGCTAGGTTTGGCAGGCGCTGCCGGAGGTGCCGGGCACCCTTTGTCCATGTTGGGCGCCAAACCGACTGATCTGCATAGGGGCAACGACTCCGACAAACCCTCTTCGGCCATTGGTGAGTGGAGTTTAAAAAAATAATACAGAAAATTGCATAACACGTGTGCAGTACACATTGCGACTAAAACTTAGAAAAATAAAAACATTGGTGGATCCAAAAATCATTTAACAAAAGTCAAAAATAAGATTATTTCATATAGTTCACTTAAAAAAAAAAAAAAAAAATTGCAAAACATTATATTGACATAATATGTTTTCATAGAGACGGTATACACCTATACATTTAATTAACACAATAACGTGTCTGCGTACATTTGTTTTCATAGAGTTTTGAGTGTTTTTAAAATAAAAAACAATTTTTTTTGTCTAGTCATGCAGTTGTTTTAAAAATTACAAAACCATGTTTCGGAGGATTTAATTATTATTTTGTATAAGTATTATTTTACGCTGAAACTGAATCTGCGGCCTCAGATTTGTCTAGCACGTTTAGTTATTTCAACGTTAAATCGTTTATTAGTATTTTCAGCGTGTTCTGTACTTTTTTCTAAATTGGTGAACAGTTTTATTTTTTATGCTAAATTCAAAACCGATCTCTATTAACGTATTAACGTAGAATATTATGAGAAAATTTCGATTTTCGTTTTTTACTTAGTCAAATTTTGTTGTACAGTGTAATCACTAAAGTTTCATCCCGGTCAACATTTATCGTGTTTTTTTTTTCTATTAAAACATGTTGTGTAAGTATATGCTGAAAGTCACTTAGAACAACGTCGTTTTTTGTCTTAAATAAATGTACCGAGCCCCTGCTAATATAAAAAAAAAAAAAAATAATATATACATAACACATGTACATCTGACCATACATGTCTGCTGCTAATAATATTATATTGTACTCGCGTTTTAATGTACCCGAACTCTCGAGACTGATATGCCGCATCAGAGAAAGTGCACTGTAGAATAGTGGTTCGGAGGGTGAATCGCTCGAGTAGACTTTATAAATGCTCGTGTTGTGGAAAAGGGGTTTCAATCATTTGTCTCTCTCTCTCTCTCTATGTATACCACTTATGTATGTATATATAATCCCCCAAGCCCGGTGTAGACATCCTCCTCCTCCCTGTCCTACACAACCCTCGGCCGACGTTATATTATTATACTCGAACACGTCGTTCCACTCAAAATAAAGTTACTCGGGAAATACTTTGTGTTGTGCCGCCGTACCGTCGAGGGACCCCATATAAGATGTGTGTGTGTGTGGTGTTGCTGTTCTCGTCGTTAAACGCCCTGTGGCGTTACAATACGGCGGTGTTTAATAGTAAAACCTAAGCCGGGGGCGGCTGCAGGATTATAGCGCTTGGGGTAGTAAAACGAAAAATATTACATTACAATATTATGATGCAACAAGAATCAAAAGGTGGGTATAAGTTGTCGATTTTGCAAAACCGAGTTTTTTTCCATAAAATATGTATTAAAATCTTGTAAAATTCCTTTTTTGTGAATCTCGCCTCTACAGATTTGGTATCTACTTTACCGAAGCAATTTTATTTTTTGCGCCGCATTTTTCCGTAGCATTTGGGTCAAGGGTGTGCACATTATACAAGTACGTATAATTCTTTCCACATACACATGATTCGGCCGAATCGCGGGCGCATATTATAATACAAATTCCTGATTTGACACGATTTACAGTTACGCATTGTTATATACCGATCGGCCGGAACATTGTTGTAATTTTCTTTCGATTTTTTATTATTACCATAAATACATCATTATTGTTTCGATATTGTCAATTTTTTTTTTGCATGTCCACCGCGGTTGTTTCCGCTCAGTTCTACCCCTCGAACACGTATACTGCACGCACGTGTTATTAATTATCGTATGTGTACTATTATATACATTGTACATACACAACGTTTGCAAACAAATGGCAAAACGATTTTGTACAATATTATTGTAATTGTTATAAATCCGTATTCATTGTTATTATTGTGTTTTTTTTTTTATTATAGGACTGAGCGCAGCCGAAGAAAGACACGTGAGTATTATTAATTACTATTATTAGTATAGTAGTAATAGTGTATAATAATAATATTACAAATTGTATGCTATTTAACCCGCAAACGGGTGTAAACAATATTAATCCGTATGTACAACAACCCGCGATGTACACAATTATTTTCCACATAGGTACCGGCTGTCGGTTGAAATCCTTTTGGCCGTCAACCATAACAAACATTGTTCGCTGACAGTGCGTGTGTATAATAATAGGGATGAGGGATAGGAGGGTGGGAAAAGAGTCGGATGAGGGTGTGTATAGGAGTTGAAATTAAATTAATGCACCCAGGATAGCACTTAATGAAGGGACGCCTTGTTATACTTGCACCCGTCAAACAAACAGTAATAGCGGCGACGCGACGGCGGGATTTCGTTTTGCAGCCCTCGACCTTTTACCCGCCGGTTGTTTCACCACCCTTCGACCCGTTAGGTCGTGCGGGGCGGATTGTATATGCACGCCCCGTGCGTGTAATATCGCCGGAACGAACCTCATCCATATGTATGTGTCATCTGGTCGCCATCGCTTCCCCCCGCGAATTTAAACGCGTGTCAAATTCGATAGGCAACACCGTCACCGACGCCGCAGCCACCCTGTTTTTCGTTCTCTCTCTATCCATAGTTAATACCTTCTCCCCTTGTGTTTCCACGAGTTTAGCTCCGCACAATTTAAGTCGATTTTGTCTCGCCCCCGGTCCGTTGTGATTTTCAACAGTATTATTAATTCGGCCAATGGGGTAGTCGGGTCTTTATTTTCTATTTCCCCCCCCCCCGTCGTGTTAACGTGGTGGTCGCACTCCCATGCACCGCGTATCCGATATTATAATACTTAATATACCGTGTGCGGGTAATCCAATCCATATAGCGTGGGTCGTTGTTGACGACCGCCGGTTTCCAATTACCCTTGGCCGACCGACAAAAATATGCCGCGGCGTTAACTGCGGCACCGTAAACCGCCACGTGTTATATATATATATATATATATATATCTTTGTTGTATATACAAGAAGAGATCCGTCGAGGAGGAATGTGTAGAAATAAAAATATAAATAAAAAGCAACGCCAGAGAGAAAATCCGTGGAATCCACCGTAATCGGGGATTAGTATTTTTTTTTCCGCTCGAGGTATTTCTCTTCCTCGCCAATAATCCGTTTCGTCTTAGGAACTACCCTCTTCTTGCCATCAACCGTTATAGACGCCCTTTTTTCCCTCTCGACTCCTTTATGGCTGCGAGGGAAAGCGGAAAAATCGAGGTTATTTCTTCTTATTTTTTTTTCTCTCCCTCCTCTTACTCCGGAGCTATAGCCGGACGTTCACCGATGCGTGCTCTGCAGCAGCAATATAACGAGAGCCGGGTAAACTCGTTTAAGGGAGCGACCTGCAACGATAAACTGGGGAGGAAGAACCGCCACCCTCGTTCTACCCCGTCTCTCCCCCGTGCCAATGCGGTGACGTTATTTTCCGGTCCGTTTCATCAACTAGTCGACGGTGGGCCCTTTCCAGCGAATAACCTCGCTGCAGACTTTGTGTGTGTAAAAAAGGGAGGAAAAAAGTACCCTCGGTTAGTTGTATAGTAGAGTGGTGTACCTACTTGTGTGTGTGTGACTGTATGCGTATAACCGTGTAGCAGGTCAGAATAGATAGTTTAGGGGTAGCGAAGGGGAAAAATCAAATAGTAGTATAAAACAAGACATCGGAGCAACTGATTACAAGATCGACATAGTAATAAAAAAAAACAAAAAAAAATACAAGAAAATTCCCCTTTGACGTTGAACGTTTTTTTTCTGTTGTCACTAACGTTTTTATGTGATCGTTGTCGGTAGTGCTGCTATGTATTATGTTATGTGTATATATCTATATACCAGTAGCGCGTGTGCTAAGGGAAAATGGAATCTCTGATATGGGTCGTAAAATAATAATAAATACTAAAATGAAATTAAACTCAACAGCATAACCGCTCGTATTGATTTTCAATTGCATCCGACGCTGGCAAACTTGTCTGGAAATTTATTATTATTAGCATATAGTACCTAAAAGTAGTGCAGCAATTCGTATCATTATTATTGTAAGTCACTATCGCTACCGTTGTTGGTCGTTAGCCTGTGCGGTGTACGAGGAAGGCGCATATAAATCTTCTGGTACACGTTATATTATTATGTACTCGACGTGCTCCATTCGTGACAACGATCATAAGGTACCGTGTCTTAATGACTATTTGTTTCTTGTCGACTGCTACTACAATCGTTGCTGTTCCCAGTCTAGTTCATAAAACAATCGTGAACCTAACACATATAAATACTTCGAAAAGCACAGCTTTTGTTGTTCCAATCGAATTCAAAGAATTTTTTTTTCGTTTATTATTATTTTTGTTTAACTCCGCTTCAAACACTAATCACCCGTGCTTTCCGCGGAAGCTAATTAAACGTTTACCGATATGATTGAAAAGGTTTGAGCTGTTCATTGGTGCCTGTCAACAGAGTTCTACTCGTTGGGTGGGTGCAAAATTTGCTAACGTAACGACGTTTTTGTGGGAAACACGCAGTATTTCGCAATTTACCAATTTTACACCAATTTAGAATTTTCGGCTCGATTCGGTTAGGTATGACATTACTACTGGCCGATAAAGAAGATTTCGCCATCCAATCAAATTACAGTTTTAACGAGTCAATGAGTGTATTATCGAAATGTTGTTGCCGAGCAGAGTGTCAAATTGTTATTCATTGAATTTCTGTTACCGATACTTAAAGTCGGCCGTTTAGGAGAGTTTTATTTGAAAATAAATGTATTTATTGGCTTAGATGAAAAGCTCAAAAGGTATTTTTTAGCATTACCGATTTTCCTAAAAATATGTTATCAAACTTTTTTTATTAAGAAAATTCCCTTGATAAAAATGGGAAAATTATACTTTGGCCGTAGTAAATTAGGTGTATCAGTCAACAGATATACGAAAAATATTTTCTTTATGTTATTGATTTGTCTATTGGTAACAACGGAAACAAAATATTATCAGGATAGAGATAACCCTAATCGTATCTATCCTAATACTAAACATATAACTGTGGGTGTAAGTTCTGCATTAAAAGTCCAACCCTCGCTTATAACAGAGTGCACCCGACTTTATTTTTTCAAACACTAACAAATTAACTTTTAAACCTTTAATATTGTTTAGTATTGGGACGGATTTTCATTGACGCGTCAATTCTGTTAATTATTAACAGATTGCAGGCCAAAAGAGGAAGTATGCGTTCAGAGAAAGGGATGAGTTGGGTGGGACCAGAGAGACAGTAATGGCCGGGGGCTACGCGTGTAATTATTGTAATCGGAACCATTAACGATAGGGGTGGTGGTCGAAGGGTTAATTTCAAACGGAGCGACTAATCTCCGAGGCATTACCGCGAGGGGTTTGTGCCCCGCTCTTCCCCCAGGACCACCTCCGCCCGTATTCCAATCGGTAAACAAGAAGCGGCAGTAGCTGTGGTGTCGGTGATGGTGGTTGTAGGTTTATACATGTATAAAAGCGAGCGGGCAAAGATAAATTGAGTTTTCCCGGCAACAACCGCACCGCCACCGACTGAAGTAGTGCAACAGCAACAACATCAACAAAATGTGTGGGGAGAGCGGCTTACCGCGGGTTTTATTAAAACGTGCCTGCCGACCGAGCACGATTTAATCGAAATTAATACCCGTCAAGGTGTGTGTATTCACAACGCCCACCACCTTGTGTCCTTATAAATTTGAAAAAAACCTAATTTACACCATATCATTAAAAACCGTCAACCAGTTTTTTTCCGCAAGGCATATTCGACGTCGTGCAAATTTCAATAAAATCGTCGTTATTTTTTAGACCCTAATGAACTGATCTAAATGAGTAAAAATATTTATCATACTCTTCTTTTTTTTTTTTTTAATATACTTCAGCCCATGCCTAAACATTATTTTTCAAAAATAAATTACACATTGCCAGTTTAAAATAAATTAAAAATACTGACTTTATGGAAATTACTTTATTTTTAATGCTGATTTGTCAAAAGATTCTCAAAGTATATTTTATTTAAACCGATTGTACAGTAGGTATATCATATTATGAAAACGATAACATGCGAGTACACGGGGCGTGTGTCATATTCTGTAATTTTTGTTGTTAATTTCTCTTTTATATTGCCTATAAAAAAAATATCATGTACAAAAAAACCGATAAAAACAGTAGTACCAAATAATAAAATATAATAATAATGTATGTAGTTAAGTCGTTAATATTTTTATTGGAAAAATCGTTCGAAGGGGGAGATTTTTTTTAAAAATCCCCCCCTATTTGGTATATTGTTAACGTTGTACGTTACCCAACCGCTTCGATAATTATGTTAATGGGTATTATAGCGTGTGCACACTGCACACGTATTCGTAGGCCTATAAACAGAATTATTTCTGAGGAATAATAAAAAACCTTACTTACCGACAATTAGGATGGCATTGATGATGCGACACCATTTTGTGGCGTCTGGATAATATCAAAATTCAGTGGGGTCGTGCTGATTGCAGCAATAAATGTATTATCTTTGTATACATTATGATTTTGGGGTTCCTACGACGTACAAACATCTGTTGTATGGTTGGGGACTGTATTTCTTTCTTTTATTTGTTATTATCTTCGTCTCGGCCAGGGTAACAATGAATGGTATTAAACGGGAGGTTGTGGGACGACGACGTGTGTAAAGCGAGTAGAGTTCAGCATCATCAGCTGTCAACCATGTATTGAACGACGACGACTGCTGTGTGCGGATGTAGTTTATAATACAGTAAACGAGGGTGAGATTCCAAAAAGAATGATATCGTTATCAAAACAGCACCGACACGGTTGTTGGACAGAGAAAGACGTGATTGGATTCCGGTCGAGCTTGCGTTTATAGTAATCTCCTGGCAAATTTATCTCTGTCTCTGAGCAAAAACACGAATTGTACTCTCTTTAACTGCAATAATGATACGTATACCGACTGAAACAACCGAAGGGTGCGACCGCCGTGTTCCCCGCCGCGTTGGCGGTAATGGTACAACGTGAGCCGATTACAAGTTTGCAAATGAACGAATTAAAACCGCCACCGCTATTCTAGTCTACACAGTACACACACACACACGCACATATATATATATATATATATTATACACAACACAGTCTGTGTATTATCATCGTGCCTCCCTTTTACGGGCTTCACCGCGTTTACACACGCCCGATTAGTTGTCGATGAAGTTGAAACCGAGAACCGCAGTGCCGTCACCGCTGTATAACCCCACAGCAAAATTCCTCGCCCCGTCGGCGCCGTAAAAGCTTTTCCTCTTCCCTCGGGCGTCCACCCACACACAAACTATGTACTTATATGTATACACTTGCACTCTCAGCGCTCCCCAGTCCCGGTCGCTAGTTCCGTCATTTCTTCCCCCCCCCCCGTTTGCGCCGCCACCGTTCTCGGTCAATTTGTGCTTAGGAAGTTACAACAGAGCTGGGTCGGTCTTTGCCGCAAAACGTACACGAGCCGAGCAAGTAGTTTATTCAACCCTGCAACTACTTGTCCTCCACAAACTACCACCCTATATAAACTTGGTTGTCTCTCGCTGAAATCATTGCTCAATGAGTTTCTCTCTCTCGTAATATGCGATGAACAAAATAATAGCGATACTAAAGACAAAAGCCTGATTTCGGGTTTGCGCTTAGACTATGCCTAGCTATCAGGTATAGTCTATTTTGATAATTAATACGTATTTGTAAAACGTAGATTTTTTAGGTAGGACACGACCTACCTATAAACCTACTCCTTTTCCCGATCAAAGCCTATCACTGTAACACTTATCAGAGGTGAAAACAACTATCAATTAATACAAGTCACAATATCAATACATACAATACAATATCAATGAGCTGCAATTGATTATGTTTGTCGATTATCCAAACAATTAAAACGTATTGCCATTGTTGTAAATGTTATTTGTAACGGCTTTAAATTTCAAAGAAAAAAGTAAATTTAAATTATATGCATTGTGATTTTTATGAATGTATCAAGAAATTGTATCTCGATCATTGCCCACTTCTGCTTGTTGTAACATCTGGAGTCCCGCATCGTTGATTAGATTTTTGAGCTCATTTCCCGCCGAGAGAGTTCTTATTTTAACCGTTAAAACTTTTTTTTTATATAGAACTGCCCAAACGAGTTCTTTTGATAAAGTTTCTTTTATATATTAAAAAACATTTCCCGTAAAACTGTGTCGTTTTACAACTTTGCGATATTGCAATTAAATTTTCATTTGCGTTTCCGGTCGACATAATTATAATTAAATTTCATAACCCATAAATTCGCCCATAATCGAGAGAGTTTATTTTGCTTTAAGTTGTCCTCCTGTTCCCAGTATATAACAATAAAGAATATCCAAAAGGTGAAAACCGCGGTAACCCATATTGTGGTAGTATAGTAATATTTAATGTGAAGACTTTCTATCCTCCCCTTTCTTCCGGTTGCGTTTCAAAGCGTTATTGTTTGTTTTCTCGTATAGCTCATTAAATAAACCATGTAGGTTTCCCCCCCCCCCTAATCGTTGAAATTTATTACAAATGATTAGTTATTATTATTAATAGTTTATTACAAATGATAAGTTGGCGACAATGATAAACTTATGTGTATATTTCGCTGTGTATCTTATCTGTATATCACCTTAAAGTCGAACAAATATTAAATAGACAAAAAAATCTCTGAGGGAACGAGAGAGCATCTTTCGGAGGGGGAGAAGAAGACTTATAGCGACTCATTAATTAAAGGAAAACCGTCGGCGGTAATGTTTCAATTTCGAAATAATGTTTTCCCCCAATTAACTGCGTGTAACCGAGATATTCGTATCCGAACAGCTCCGAGGAAAGCAATTAACACCCTCGGAATTGCTTCGCCTCGGGGAATTAACTTTTTCTCTTCTACTCTCTTCTCTCCCCTTCGGAGCTCGTCCCGTGCAGTTTCGACGCGACGGGGTTTATTTTGTTTCGTCCTCCGTTCTTCTCCTCTTCTGCTTTATTCTGGCTTTACTGCCCTCGGGAATTGGATTAACTATCTTGTACTGACACGGGGGTAGAGATGTGTTTATTGGGTCCTTAGGGCGTATGTATGGCTGCAACACCGCCGACGCCCGCCTCATCCGTGCGGCCTGCGCCCCGGGGGATCCGAGCGAAAAACGACCAACGCGCCACATGTTTTTCCTTCCCTTTTTTATGACACACGATTATTTATATTTCCCTTCCTCGTTTACACGATCACCGACCGAATGTAATATTTTTTTCCATCCCGGCGTCGGTTTTGACGAAAAAAATAACCCCACACACAACACCGTTCGGATGTTTACTTGCCCCGAATTTTCGACGGGTTCCGTAAGACTTTACACACACATACTATTGTGTACGTTGTCGGTTGTTTGACGTTGCTTTACAGGCTTATGTACGTTTTTTTTTCTTATCCGAGATTTTGTTTTGTTTACTACAGAGGAGTTCCATATCACCGGCGGAAAGGGAGAAATTTCGCGTCAGAAGCTCGCCGGATATCGAGCCACACAAGAAGGTGAAAAAAGAAGAAAAAGATTGCCACGTAAGTGTATATAGCGACAACGTTCTCCCTTCTTTCCACGTTCCCAACGCATAAGTCTACACGCCGGCTTTATTCAAGCCGCTAAACATAAATGAAACGTGTATACCTACTGTCTTTATACCAAGCGTTCTCAACACCCTTTAAAAATAAATAAAAATATAATTAAAATATTTTTTTTTCATTTTTAGGCAAGTGACGGTGAAAAGAGCGATCAAGATTTAGTCGTCGACGACGCTAGCGAGGTACGTTCATCTTTAAATTTTGCATATAATAATTCTACACGAAAGGGGTCCGCGCCAAAGAGAGACGCCTGCTTGTACATCTGTACCTACTTAAAAAAAACGTCTCGACACGTGTAATTTCGAAAACTCATTTACTCTCTCTACAACTTGCGACGCCGTTTCAACTTGGTTTATTGCTTTTACCTTCGTGTAGAGCTAGTGTATTAACAAAGTAATTTAAATTGTCCTCAGGATCCAGTATCACCTCTTAACGGAACGGCCTCGCCGAGAGAAAATGGTATCGACAAGTTACAACCGAAAAAAGAACACATTGGACCGCATAGGTAATATTAAAACAACAATATGGATACAGTTTTAGGTTTTTTGTTTTACCGACTACATTACCATTGTTATTACAGTCCGCGGAGCGGGACATCGTCTAATGCCAGCACACCTTCCACAAAGAAAATGGAGGACAAACCTAGCACACCTATTTCCAAGTCGATCACGCCGACAAGCGGCGGTAGCGGATGTAGCGGCGCGGCGGGCTCGTCGATGAAACCCATGGCCAAAGGACCTTCATTAGGTATGGAGCATGTTTTTTTTTTTTTTTTAACGGACTGGAAATAATTATTGTTTTTTCTACATTTTTACAGCTCAATATCCACACTATTTGCCCGGTGGAGCGAGTCCGCACGAACTTCAGGCGGCCGCAGCGGCTGTCGGGGCTTACGGAGCGTTACATAATAATATGCCACCATCGGCCGCTCTAAACAGTTACCCCAGACCGGCAATGGTAAGCCGACTTTTTTGGCCATGGTCGAATTGTTGTATAAAAAAATATTACAATTTTGTTTTAGGTCGGTTATGATCCTCACGCACAAATGAGAGCACCTCTCGGACCCGGACTAGGCATTCCGGGTGGAAAACCGTAAGTCTTATCCATAATGACTGACTTTTCTTAAACGATAAATAGGTGTATAACGTTCCAAAATGAATATTACAGAGCCTATTCGTTTCACGTGAGCGCCGAAGGCCAGATGCAACCGGTGCCCTTTCCACCCGATGCACTGATGGGCCCAGGCATTCCTAGACATGCCCGTCAGATCAACACCCTAGGACATGGAGAAGTAGTCTGCGCTGTGACCATCAGCAACCCCACAAAATACGTATACACCGGCGGCAAGGGCTGCGTCAAGGTGTGGGACATTAGTCAACCGGGATCCAAGTCGCCGGTATCCCAACTAGACTGTTTGGTATGTATTTTACATTTGAACTTGTTCGTTTTTTAGGCAGCCTGCCGAAAAGGAGGACCTTGTTTCTAAGGCTAAAATATTATGTTTCGTAATTAAAAGTGTTGGTAACAAAGACCACAGGGTTCCGCAATATTAGCCTTCGAATTGAGGAAACTACAAAAGAAATTGGAATGAAATTAATTGTTTTTTTGTTTATTTTTAGCAACGTGATAACTACATAAGATCTGTAAAACTCTTACCCGACGGCCGGACGTTGATTGTCGGAGGAGAAGCCAGTAATTTGAGTATATGGGATTTGGCATCGCCGACGCCCAGAATAAAGGCCGAGTTAACGTCGAGTGCACCGGCATGTTACGCGTTAGCCATCAGTCCAGATTCAAAAGTAAATAAAAGCAATTTTTATTTATCTATGAATCTAATGAAAGCTAATAATTTTTTTATCCATTTTCTTTAGGTGTGCTTTAGTTGTTGTTCCGATGGTAACATAGCCGTTTGGGATTTACACAATCAAACGTTGGTCAGACAGTTCCAAGGGCACACGGATGGAGCGTCGTGCATAGACATCTCTTCGGACGGGTCCAAATTGTGGACGGGCGGTCTTGACAACACGGTGCGGTCTTGGGACTTGCGAGAAGGACGTCAACTGCAACAGCACGATTTTTCATCTCAGGTAAGACCATATGATTTAGAATTGTGTTTTAACATCAAATTGTAAATTTTTTCTTTTACGCAGATATTCTCGTTGGGTTACTGTCCGACAGGCGAATGGTTAGCAGTCGGCATGGAAAACTCTAATGTTGAGGTGTTACACGCTTTGAAACCAGACAAATACCAACTGCACTTGCACGAGTCGTGCGTGCTGTCCCTTCGGTTTGCGACGTGTGGAAAATGGTTTGTGTCAACTGGAAAAGACAACTTGTTAAACGCATGGCGTACGCCCTACGGTGCCTCAATATTCCAAGTGAGTAGTACTGTCGTCACTGATGGATTATTTCAACTTTGATGCGGAGTAGAGCTATAATTTTAAATATTTTTTTGTCTGGACCAGGGATTAAAATCTAATTACTTCCAAACCTTGTGTATGTACTATGCAAAATCAAGAAAATATTACTAACCTTTCCCCGGAAGAGGTGGAAATTTTCCTATATTTTGCTTTTTTATGCATATTTTTTAGACTTAAGGTTAAAAATAAGATTGAAGAGTTCCAAAAATCTGTAGTAATTTTTTTTTTATTAAGAAAAAATAAAACTTTTATAACAAACAGAAATTTTTATAAAACGTATATATTTATTTACTTATTGCAATTTCATTTTAAATTTTATGTTTTAATTAACTATTTAAAATTCCAGTAGATTATTCTCAACATAAAAAAATATTTTTATTTAAGTTAAAAAATCTGTATTCGCACTTCTATCAAGAAAATCTTTAAAAATCCAATAACATGGATGCAAATATTTAACACTTTCAGTACCTAATAATAAAATAATTTCATCCCTAATATCCTCCAATCTATCTGGCCAATTGCCAGAGTATAATTAGATGTATTTGTTAGTTTTTTTTTTTTACATAATCTTTTTTCTCTTGTCCACAGTCGAAAGAATCGTCGTCGGTACTAAGCTGTGACATATCGGCCGATGACAAATACATTGTGACCGGTTCGGGCGACAAGAAAGCTACAGTTTACGAAGTTATATACTAGTAAATGATGCAAGAAGACATATTAAAATGTTTCGGTGTTCATTAGGTGTAGAAAACTAATTGTTGTTAATTTCAACGTTTATTGAACATTTTTTGTGATAATTATTTCCAATATAATATTTTACTATTATGACTTAGACCGTAAATATTAATTTACATGTAGTGCAAATATCATTTACAAGTGTAAAATGGAAACTACTAATATCTCTTTTTGAAAAAAATTAATACCGAAAATTGTATCTTTTTATAATCTAGTATAAGAGTTGATTTAAAAAACCAATTGTTTACCTACTGTAAGACCTGTTTAAGCTGATAATCATAGTTTACGCTTTAATCAAAGCTTAGGTATTGCTGCTTACGCAAAATTTTGAATCTTTGATTTTAAAAAGACTACCATGATTACCAGAATATTTAACAGTTTCATTACTAATTATTATTATTATTTTTTTTTTTTGAGACTATTATTTTGTGATTATTTATATGTAAAAATTAAAACAATAAAACGCCCCTCACGAGAAAGATCTTTCAAATATAATATACTATTAATTTTTTTTTTTTTGTATTTTAATTATTGTATTTACTTTATTATTTTCATAAGTGTTAACTTTGTTTTATCTATTTTGTACAAAATAGTAGATAGATAAAAAAAAAATACCGATAAGTTTTTGTTAATTTTTTTTCATTAGGATCTTATAGGTAAATCATTAAGATATAATCTCTAAACGTATCTTTTATACCTAATATATAGACCCTTTGAAAATAATTTAAATTTTATTGTTATTTAATAATTATTTATGTTTATTTAAAATAATTCATTTCCCCCATATTTTATAATATTGTGCTATGTAGTAACGAGTACTTTGTTTCATAATGTATAGTGTTCGATATAGTATTCTGTATAATTTTCTTTATTTATACAGAAAATCTGAAAAATAAAAGAACCAATTTATTATAATTGTTAAATTGTATTGGAATGTAGTAATAGTTTCATTAAGCGTTCCTTTGTTTAAATCCTACCTCTGGAATAATAAATCAACCAAAAATTGTTTGCCACCGTTCTACTGTAGAATTTATTTTTAACTAAACAAATTACACTTTGCATCTGAAAAATGATCATGTGTGACAGTAGCAAAAGTATATTATGTATAATAGGTCTTTGTTAAAATGGTATAATTAGTTATACATTAAAATGTTAAGGCTTCAACGGCTCATTGTCTACTTGGTAGGAACAAAAACAAACTATGTTATATATTATAATTGCCATCTGTTCCAATAGGTTATCCAATTTATGGTGTGCTTAAAATAACCTTTATAAAACAACCAATATGCTTAAATGAAAAAGGAGTTAGAGTTGAACGGACTTAGGGGATTGCATGCGGTCTGTTCGGTGTGAAGTTTTTAAGGACACTACAACTTAACTAATTATTTAGTTTTTTTAAGCGTCCAAAGTGAGAAATATAATAATAATAATTTTAGACGATTAATATGCTAGTGTAGACATATTAGTTTACTTGGCAATTTGTTATAGTATTGTCTGTAAACAATTTTAGCTGCTTTACAACAGTCGGTAATTGAGTCCTAGACTTTAAAATTTTTCGAAAAAGCTATTTAATTATTTTAAAAGTTATAATAATTCCGTAGTACAGTAATAATTTATTAAAACCTCTTTTAAACCTCTTTGGTGATTTATTTGACCAAGTGTCTTTCAAGTTTCACCTAGTGTCGAACTGTCAACAAACACACCAGCGTCACCTGCTCTGCATAGATTAAGGACTCAAAATCTAAAAATTAGACTGTAGGTAGATCTTTTTTATTTTATCTTAAAATTGACTCACACGGGGGAGGACTGCCTTTGCTTTGCTTTCTCCTTGACTGTAGGTAAATCTAGAATAAGGGCTATAACATACAACATTTTCTCAACAATTTTGGGGTTTTAGAGTTTATCTTAATAACTATCAGACTATAGATTTAAACAAAAAGCAGTGTAGTTATAGCCTCACTCTAAATCTACCATCAGTCTAATTTTCAGATATTGAATTTTAAAACTACGCTCGAAAAGAAATGTAAAGAAAAAGTTCCCACTTTCCATTCCTTCTAAGGGAAGGGCATATGCCTATTTTTTTAGATTGCCATGGTATATAAAATTAGTTTCATCTAATCGATAGGTCATATATATGTATCAAAAAGTACTTAATTCGAATAATTTGTTATCTAAACAATAACAACTTCAATAAAAATTGATTCGAATACAGCCCAACTCTGCGCTACCGGTTGACTGTTGTAACAGAAATACTTCTGAGTCTGTGCTAAATTAATGAAATTGGAAAAACACAAATTAAAAAAATTGTTTTCGATCGCTGGTCTTATAAACGGGGTCAGTGTTGTTTGTGTAATTGCTATTGTTTTCGCGTTGCCCGTGTCAACCGGGCCTACATCAATCTGTAATATTTAACCGTACCATGAAATCGTTCTTCTTGTGCGTCGTGGCCTTTGCCTGTGGGGTCTTTGGCGATTGGAATCGGGTAAAGAGAGCGAGTTACATGTACCCGGAGATGGTGCACTCTAATGACATGGACGATGACGACGAACACCACCAGGTCCAGTGCACTGACTGTAAGATGGTGGCCAAATTGCAGACCGTCGACGAGTTCATCGATTCCACCGTCAAACTCCACAGCCGTATGCCCATAGTGAAGATAAGAAGCCACAGGAATACCGCCACGGACCCATTTGACAGGAACATTGTCACGAAAAAAATGAAAATGTCAAAACCGAGGTTTTCTAAACGTATGTCGCTGTTTACTGCCTTAAGCTATGCTTAAACTATTGTACACAGAAAACGTTTGTCTCGTTTTTTGGAATTTACTGTCTGGTAAAATAAATCATATACTAAGTAAGCGATGTGAAAAAAATGGTTTAGGCCATAGCTGGCCCCTCACTCGGTACTCGATCTGACACCAAGTCTGCTTTTTAGGCTGCGGTGCGATCCAATATAAATTGCTTGACCTGTCTAACACACGCTAGAATATTAAAATGAACATTTTGAGCTGTACTCATTTTTTGCTGTTTAATTTTCTTTGATCCAACGGACGCGGCGTAGTTAAGTATAACGCAGCATTTATTTCGACAGACCTACTAAGCTCTTTAGAATATATATATATATATATAGGTACATAGCCCATAGGTATTTAAAATAAATATCAAATAGGATTCACATTTTTATCGTCAATACCTTATTAGTTATTTATGTATTTACTTCATATTGGCAGGTCCTCTGACAACGGAAACGGAATGGTTAAACGTGCCGGTCGCCACAGATGACACTATGTCGGCTGCTAACGGTGGTTTCGATTTCAAGTGGAACAATCTGATTAAGACGACCACCAATAATGGGCCTAACATACGTTAGTTTTTCGAAGACGTATTTAAAAATGATCAGCTACTTATAGATAGTATTAATATTAGTGTATGATGCATCTACGTACTTATTGACAATTAGTATGTACGTGTTTTATGTGATTAAACTTTGTATTCATTTACTATCCAAAGAAATTATATTGATACATTTATAATCTAAAAATAATGTTACGGACATGTAGAACATTACAAGTTTTGACGTTCACCTTCATTTGAGCGGATCTTGTTTTTTGTAGACTTGGGTACCGTAGTTTGTTGTAATAATTATTATAAACCGAAATGTATACGATTTGTTTTACAGAAAAACAACTGTACTACCTACTTTCATACTACTGTCAACTCACTAAAATATGGTCGTATACGATATAACCCGTCCGGTACATCTTGGTCAAAAGCAAACGGACTCAAGATGAACTAATTAGGCCGGTTCAATCGATTATATTCTTGATTTTTACATAATTATCTTCTTCGATTTGTTCAATTAATTAAGAAAGGACTTTTTTAAAAATGATATAGCGTCGGTTGTATAGGTATATTGAAAAATTACCGATGTTGGGACACAGATAATTTTGTCATGTATAATGTGTATGAATTTCTTTCCTTAACTATATATGAAGCCTGAGAAAAATTAATCCGCGCAAAGCAGTTTTGAAGGGAAAAAATTGTAATTTATTCTATAGAAATGACTGCGATAGTAGTCTGACAAAAAAAAAAGGCAATCAACAAAGTATCCTCATTACTGTGTATTAATAAGTGTACATTAAAGTTCAAACTCTAAAATTAAGATTTTTCGAAAAATTGCCTATACTTTACTCCTTAGAAATGGCCGGTGTGGCGTCCTCTTAAGGAGTTAGGTCACTATCATAGTACTGTTGTCAGACTTGACCCCGTGTATGATTAATCAGCATTCTAAAATTAATTTCTTTTATTTTATTTACGCACTTGTACCTACGTTTAACACTGAGGCGTAATAATTAAAATGGAGTTAATTATTTACAATTTATTTAAAAACAATTTTTTAATCAAAATTTTATGTATAATATCTAGGAGTACATATTTTGTAATATTACTTTTGGTTAATTTAATATGTACATGTTGATTTTATTTTATATATTTCAACAATTATAGTAATAAAAATATAATAATTTAAAAATTTAGTTAAATGAGTTACATTTTTTCTTTTTGTTAATTAGATATCATTCGATTAAAATTTTGTATATAATGTGATAACATAATATTAACAATTCAATGGTCATGTTAAAATTTGTACACAACAACCTGATAAAAATCAAAGATTAATAATGATTCGGAGTAGGGTAAAAAATAATATGTTCATAATACTTAAATAATAATAAACTTGATAGAAAATTAATGTTAAACAACAAAGCTACTGAATACAAATTTTAATGAGTTGTATACCTTTTACATTCGATAAAATAATTATAGTATAATTTTATTTTATTTTAATATCACTTAAAACAAATGACTATTTCCCACAGGCCCACAGGTGTATGCACACCAAAAATCTAAACATTTAAGCATCATTGTGTTTTGCATAAAGTTAATCTAGTTTATTATTCATATTTGTACTGTTCTACGATTCATTACTATAGGTTCAAACCAATTTTGAACCTTCACTTCGATGAGAAAATTATTATAATATTGTAGCAGTTAAATATTTTGAAATACAATAATTAATAACATATCATACATAATCCATGTAATTATTGTTAAAAATGTTACAAAGCTATGTAAAAAAAAAAAAAAAAGCTGCCTACTATAAGGCACATTTTAACTATCAACAATAACAAATGTCTAATTGATGCGGTTCTTGTAAATAAATTTTCTTATACAATAAAGATCAGATTTTTTTTTTATTACATTTTTTCTTTTCATCATAAAAATAAATGGAAAAAATAAGTTATAAAATATATATGTATATATATATATATATAATAATATAAACCATCGGTATCAAGTTGTAAGGTTTTTAATATAATTCAATATAATCTTGAATCTATTCAATTATTTTCAACACCTTTCCAATTGCAATAGTTTTACCTAAAAATGATTGTAAAAATTGTTGGCTATTAATTATAATCATTTAGTTATTCAATTGGCTTGAATATCAAAATAATACATAGTGTAAAATATTGTATTGACTTTTTTTAACATACCTTCATCTCGAAGTGTAAATCTTCCCATTTGAGGAAATAATTTAAATTCTTCCAGACAAACTACACCAGAACATTCTAGCCTCATTATTACTACTTGGTCTTGTTTAACGAACCGTGGTCGCATATTTGATTTCAGTCCTGTTTTCCTATCAACTAGACATATTAATGCCTAAAAAAAACAATGTTGATTAATTATTGATTTAATTCTGTAAATTGAAGTTTTCATACCTTAACTTCTACTACTTCAGCAACACAATGAATGTGCATTACTGCAGAATACCCTGCACATATTATACTTTTATATTCTAAAATAACAACCTACAAAAACGAATACTACATGTTAGTTAGGGGTTTTATTTTAGTACTATTTTATAATTTTTACCTGTCCATCGAAAATGCGACAAGTTTTTACAGGGTGAATTGGATCACATAAAATAAATCCAGGAGAAACATCTTCTTCTTCGATACCTTTTAGTTTTACTTTGATATTTTCACCAGGTCCAACAGAAGAAACTTCCTCGTCGTCTGACCATAGCTGGTCAACTATGACATGAGTCTGTAGACAATTCAACACGTTAGCTGGTAATCTATTTACTATTTTATTCAGAGTTGGCAAATTAACCCCAACAAAAAATTTAAGCAGGTTACCATAACTGGGGTGGTCCTTCATTAAAAATCGAAGTGTTGCCAACTCTGTTTTTAATTATATTTTATAACATACTCTATTTGGCATGATCAAAAGACTTTGCGACTTTTTTGCTTCACCAGATTCTACTTTACCCATGAGAACAGTTCCCATGTCTTTATATTTTTCTACAACGGGCATAATGAAAGGTCCATCAGACCGACGATTTAACAATGGTAAGCCATCGATAAATGGAATAAAGGCTGGTCCCCTGTAACATAGACATGTTTAATAAGTGTACACAATTATAATGTGGTCTTATAATAAGTGGTGTAGTCGTAGAATATACTCTGTATGTATCCATCTCCTACTTTTCTATGTGTGCGTGTATTCATTAAGTTAAGTGTGTCCCCGCAAATCGAGTACATCTTACACATTTCTATGTATGCAAAGATTATAGCAAAAATTATATACCTATGGATAGTGTACTCGATTTTTGTTATGAGTGCACACATACAAAGGAAAGTGGCAGGTGGGTACACTGTGTATTCCCTTACGACTATGTAATTTTTTTCTGTAATAACTTTACATTGTCAATCTAATTGTAAGTACACACCTATACCACGGGCAGATAGATTCGTCTACTTGATCTTTAAGACCTAACCCAGTTTGTCCAGAAACTGGCATAAATGTTAAATCTTTAGCGACATTAAACCCAAGTTTTCTAAGGTAAGGTAATATTTTATCACGACATTCTTCGTATCTAGCTTTTGACCATAATACAGTAGGATCGTCCATTTTATTTATTAGCACCACCATATGTTTGACACCGGCTGTTTTTGCTAACATGGCGTGTTCTCGAGTTTGACCACCTCGATCAAAACCAGTCTCAAATTCACCTTTACGAGCTGAAATTACCTAAATAATAAATGAAATGTTAAAAAAATCATTTGTTTTAAAAAATTCGAAACGTACCAATACAGCTAGATCGGCCTGAGCAGTACCACCAATCATGTTAGGCACAAAACTTTTATGACCAGGAGCATCCAAAATGGTGAAATGTTTTTTTTCCGTTTCAAAATATGCTCGGCCAACTTCAACAGTTTTCCCTTTTTCTCTTTCTGCACAAAAAAATTTAAGTTAAATTATTTTAAACAATTATATAGTTAAAATTATATTATACAATTACCTTCTTGGTTAGTGTCTAACGCCCATGACAAATACCAGGATTCTCTACTTCTTTCTTTAGCTTCTTTTTCATACTTATCTAATGTCCTTTTATCAACCATACCAGTTAAGGCCATAATTTGACCACCAATAGTTGATTTACCGGCATCTAATCATTTAAACAAATAATTATTTTATGAACGTAAAACAGGACCATATAATACTTATTTAGTATAAAATTAATTATTTATTTACTAGATTATTAAGATAATCTGAGGTGCTAATTATTTTGAACAATATATTTTAATGATCAATAGTATTGAATATATAATCAATAAATTTCTAATAATTTAAATTACCAGTTAATTGATTAGACTAAAACTGGTATCAATTAATCATCTTTATTTATTGAATATTATAATAGATTCGTAGCAAAAGTTTATAAAGCACCCAAACATTTAAATGCCTGTATGTGATTAAAATATTGTTTTAACATTTATTTTAAATACAAATAATGAATAAATTAAAAATTGGGTATGATATTCTCTTTAAAATATGATTATCATTCATTTTAACATTAGGGTTTTTGCTTTAACACCAACATGGTAAAATGCAATATTATGGTAGCTGCGAAATAATAATAAAAACTTTCTTTATTGGATGATGTCACGGTTTGATAAAAAAATTAACCATCAATAAAAAGTCCTAATTACTTAATATATTTTTAGCTTTTAACTATCTATTCTTCAAAAAAAAAAAAATGCCTAATCAATTTTCTAACAATATCTTTTATGTTGTCCTCTAAGGTACTTTTTTTTTTAAAAAAAATTATTGATAATAGATAATATGAATGAAGGCCCCATCCTATTTTAAAACCATTTAGATATAAGAAGTGGAAATTGAGGCTTTTTTTGGTATGAAATGAATGGGCTTTCAAATTCTTATCATTTGGAATGCTGATAAACATGAATGGTGAATCCATTTCTTGAATATTTACAGTACAAATGTAAATATTTTAACAAAAACTTACCGACATGGCCAATAATAACAATATTTATATGTTCCTTTTTCGCCTTGGGTTCTAATGACTCTATAGGTTTTTTAGGGGTTGGTTTGGGTTTTTCCTCTTCATCGGCTTCAATATCAATGTCTTCAATGATGGGTTTGGCAGTACCGTCTTCTGGAGTACTGGATGCACCATCCTCCCAAGAGTCAAGAACTGAAGCACTTGAAGTTTGTCCACCGTCTCCATCTATTGCTGGAGGATCACCTATACCGTCCACGTCTAAGTAATTAAAGAATCCCAACTTATTAATATTCGACACGTCATAACCTTAAAACCAACTACCTATAACTTACTGGACGTCTTTGTGTCGATGTTTTTCTGTTCGTCTTCTTCCGAATTGGCGTCGTCCGCGTTACCGGAAGCCGGAGAGAACGATGGCACAAATTCAACAGCGTTTACGTTTAGCTTTATGAGTTTTGCCTGTAGTTCGGCTGCACTAGCATCGGCCAATTCGTTTTCCTCCCATGAATCCGGTGCTACGTTATTTGACATGACCGCGGTTAATTTACCAATATATATACACACAAATAACTAGGAAAAAAAAATTATGTATACAAATTCTTGTCAGTCCACAGTATAGAAATTCGAAAACCAATACCGATGTGACTGAACAACGTGTTTCGACGTGTGAAAAGAACACCAAAAGCAGAGTATCAGTGTATACACTACACTATATACGATATAATATATTTACCAGTGCAATAATATATATCATACCAAATCACGAGATACATGTTTCCAGTTTGAGGTATGCCGATTTCCTAATGGAAAATGTTGGCGCTCTGTGCTGCCAACAACACGGTACAGCAGTTCTACCAACCGCTGTCCCATTATCACCGGCATAATATGGCGAAAGAAATTGATAAGCTGTTTATAGATAATAATCACGAATTAAGATAACCGAATTGTCAACGGCCTACGATAAACCATTATTTATTGGCCCGTGAAATGATTTAGGAATTGCAGGTATCAGCGCTATCTATAATACTAGAAGCAATTTACTCTACTATAGTTATGAAATATAACCGTTTAATTTAGTTTGTAATTAAAAGTATGTACCTATCTTAATAGGTACTATTGTTACCCACTGTGTAAACAGCTTAGGAGCAACCTTATTATAGGTCGTTGGCTACCCAACTATCTTAATTTGTGATAGTAAATATTCATAAACATAAAATTATGTATTATCTAGAGGAATAATTAAAGGCGAACTGGGAATAGTATTTTTAGCATGTTATGTAAGTTTGAACGTTAATGCTATTTGTAATACAAAATTACATAATTAATACACACATAAAATTAACTATTTAATATAAATACATAAGTCTAATATTATATATTTTGATATATTATATGTAATATTTAAATTAAGAAATATAATAAACAAATTCTATCTAAAAATTATAGATTTTTTTTACTTATTTTTTTAAATTTAAATTGTGTTTTTCTTTTAGTTGAATACTTTTTTTTTAAATTATCATTGAATCACATAATAAATTCTACATAATATACTATGAATATAACAAAAAGGAAACAGGAATACTAGCAAAATAATGAACATATTACATTAAGAAACATAATTAGATAATTTAATATAAATAAACAAACCTATTAACAATTTGCAAATAAACAATAAAAAAAACTACAGTCAGTCACAGTTTAAAGTGTACACGTATACACTAGTTTTACAAAGATCTACGTAGACCTTGCTCTGCTTCTAAAAGAAAAAAATGCTTAATGCCTTTATAATCACAAACATAAATCTAAGTAGCAGTCTTTATGAATATAGTAGTACAATAGTAGCATAATGAATTTTTTTAAAAAGAAAATTGCATTTTAGATTTTTTTTTAAATAAATAATATTATATTATTTTTGTACCTAAGGACACAAAAAAAAACTAGGAATCTGCTGTATTGAACCAAACAAATTATACATAATACATACATACATATATATATATATATATATATGTATATATATATTATATATATTATATATACATACAAATTTTACAAATAAAAAAGTTATTTTGTAATAAGGCTTTAGTTATTTAATAGTATAATTAAATAAGTAGTTTTTACTCAATAATACTTAATAAATTCATGACTATATATTATTAAGATAAATTTAAATTAAACAAAAAGAGATACTTTTAATGATTTAATAAAAAAAAAATGTAATAATAGAAGGTGTGTTTATGTTATTTTAACGTATACATATAGTAAATGTTACATTTTAAATTTTTTGTCTATAAAAACTGAATAGCATTAGATTATATACTGATAATAGAACTAGGTGATACTTATAAATAGTATGTCTTAAAAAAAAACTGACCAAATAATGGAGCTTGAAAACAAATGTTAAAAATTATGTCTAATAAACACCTTACTAGGTTTCATCATTAAAATTGAACTGCAATTGAAGAAGCTTTAATTGTTATATTTCTTATTTAACAACATACTATTTAACTAGTATTAATAAACAATTGTTTAAGTTAATTGTTTGATGAAAAGACCAATTTTATAATTACACTAATTGTTTTTTATTATTAATTTATAACAAGACACTGGCAACTATGTTTTTGTAATTTGAAATGAAAATATGGTGACAAATTCAAATTATTAAAACATGTAACTGTTTAAAAAAATTTCTTGAGTTAATTTAATTAATAATTATATCCATTAGACGTCAGTTGCTGAAAATGAATGCCTTCTTGAATTATACACATCATTTTCTAACGCTGCACATCTAAAAATAAAAATAAAAGTCATTGATAAAAATAACTAGTGGTTTTTTCTCTCATTTAATCATTAACATTTAGATAAATAGTTTTTATAAGTAATTTTATTACTTTTTACAATCTGAGGTAGTTATGTCAATGATCTTATTTTTATGATTATTCAACATGCGTTGTCTTCTCTTATGCCTGGAAATATGTTTGATAAGCGGATAAACAAACAGTAAGAATCCTGATATTGCAATAAAAAAACCTCCTAAATAAAATGATAAATTGTAACTTTGCGTTACATCGTACAGGCCACCTGCAATAATAGTTTATAAAATATTAATTAATTATATGAAAATTTGTTTAATTTGCTGGTCTTACCTGCTAGAGGGGGTCCAACTAAATTGGCGATTCCTTGTACTAACAACAAGACCCCATAAGCATTGGTGAACCGTTCCAGTGTAATGATTTCGACTAAAATAATCGATGTAAATGAATAATTTGCGGATATGAACAGACCAAACAGTGCAGATAAGATTGATAGACTGGCGTAACTTTCAAACAGCGGCACCAGAGCGATAACGATACCACATAACACCATTGAAATAGCATACACTGTATTAGCATTGACCCAAGCTTTGTCTCCAGCCCAACCTAATAGTACCTAAAAAAAATATTTCATTAAAAAAAAGCCTATATCATAAGTCATGTAGTTATAGGGGTGTACGCTATGTGTAACTTTTTTTATATGTATGCACGTACTAATACAGAAATTGAATCGCTTCTTGCAAGTAGGCCCTTACACCATAACTTGAACTTGTGGTAAACAAAGTATACTTATTATTATTATTGTTAATTTCAAAAAAGTATAAAAACGTAAGATCTCTTAAGTCAATAGCTGTTGGATAGAAAAATTATATTCTAGGATTTATTTTTTTCAAAAACGCAGTCTTGATTATTAGTATTTATGTATCATGGATATAATGCCGTTAAAAAAATCAATAATTGTTTGTAGTTAATATACTTAGAAGTTTTTTAGTTTATGGCTTTTAGAAAAATAAAAACGAAATTTCTGTATAATAAAACAATTTTTATTAACTTTTCCAATGATAAATATACCTTAATATAAAAAAATTACTAAAAAATTAAGACGTTTTCTATTTTTAATCATTAATTAATAATTTCACATTAAGTGACATTATAACGATTTAAATAATGTATAAAACTTGTACAACAACAAGTTACAAAAAAAGGAACAAAATTTACTTCATTTATCTATCACCTTTTTTTTTTTTTTAATTTAAATTAAATTTATTTAACACAACACTACAAACATTGATATGAAAATAACAGCTGACAGTCATATTGGTAATAGTATGAGTTTTGTGTTAAAATGGCTTTACATGAACCGATTATATTTGTGTACTCTATCCATGGGTACTCACATTGTATACCCTACAACTACACCACTGATTATGGGCATGATATCTGTTAAATAAATTATGATTGCTTTACCTCTCCAAACATGTTTAGAAACCCAATCATACTTATCAGGTAAGATGCGTCTTCTTGAGAATTTCCTCTTAGGGTAGCTAAATCGGCTAAGTAAACGTACGGTACGTCATACCATGTGTATAAAAGGAAATTGGATATTGCAAACAACAAGTAATGCATATTTTTAAAATGTGAGAAGTCCATCATGTCAAGCAGTAGATACCAAAGTTCCCAAAGACTGGCCGACCACTAAGGTATCAAATGGTCATTTATTATTAGAGTCCTTATAAATTAAAATTAAAAACAATTACTTCATTTTTCTCTTTAGCGATAGTAGTCATCGAGTTGCGATAAATATTTGGGCATGATGAAGCTCTCAACCGATATCTATTTATATTGAGCATCGCTCCTCTGTATGTAAGAGAATGTCTAAAATAAAAAATGTAAAAGTAAGTTATAAGTTAAGGCGTTATAAATATATTACAATAAATCAAAATAGGCAAAAATCTTAAACCCAGCTTAAACTCAAGCATACCCATAACTGAGTCAGACTTTTGTTGTAAGAAAAACTGGGTTATTGCTAACTTTGAATACAAAAATCGATTGACTACCTGTGTATTTTAATATCTTGCAAGTATGCGGTTTGAAGACGTTTAGCTTGTGGATTATCTTTTTTTATCCACCAATCATAGTCGTCATTATCTTCCAAATTTACATTAGATCCATTGTGTGATTGTGCCACGTCCATCTTATCACTAGTATTATTACTAGAAGAAATTTTATTTGATTGTTCATCAAGTTGTTTACGAATATCAATTAACTTTTGTAAGTGTACACTTTGTGTTGGCGATAAAGTTCCCTTTAGTAAAATAAACAATTTTATGACAGTTAATTGAGTAATTACTCGATTATATAAATTATAAATACAAAATTAGTTTTAAAAAAATACTTGTATTTAATCCACTAATTTTATATTTATTCTTTTCTTAACTAATTGATACAAAAACAAAATTAAATTTTATTTTAAAATAAGGTAATAAATTTATTATTTTTTTACCAGATCGTTGATACGTCCGCTATCACTAAAACTCTTCGAAGGTAACAACAAACTCGGATAGTTTTGAACCAGCACAGAGTACAAGTGTTTTTTTTGGGTTAGAGCTTCGAGTACTTCTAAAGGAACATTTTCATGGTTTCTTATAAATGTAGGTAAATTTACAAGAGAATTACATAGTCTTATTTCTTTGGTAGTATTGGGTAAACCTCTTTTATTTCCTTTAGACAAAAAAAAACAAAAATTAAACTATGAAAATACAAGTATTATATATTGATAGCGTCTTACCTGAATCCATCGGTATCATACTTTCAATTTCTTCTTCACTCCCAGACATCTGAGACGTTTGTAATTGCGTATGTTGGGAATGTCTATCGTAACTGCCAGTTGACTTTAATCTTCGCTTTAAAAGCCTGGCATGTTTCCTCTTTTTCCTTTCATTTTGTAATTTCTCTTTTGTCCACGGAAGGTCTCTCATCAACATGCCAAATATGCACAAGTTTAAAAAGAGGCCAGCTAGAATTAATGTGCAGCCCCGCCATCCATAGTAACTTAAAAGCTTATGGTTAAGGGGAGCGAAAATAACCGTTCCAATGCCACTTCCACAAACTGACAAGCCTGTGGCAAATGACCGTTTCTTATCAAAATAATATGCAACTATAACGACAGCAGCAACATAGCACAAAGACAATCCAAATCCAGATATAAAACCAAATGTGATGAACAGCATAAATAATGAATCAGCAAATGCTGATATAACAAATCCAGCAGATGCTATTATTGAGCCGATGATTGTGACTTTTTGACATCCATATCTATCTGTCAAAAAACTAGCTACCGGTCCAGATAGTAGAGGCACCGACATAAAAAGTGAACCTATCCATGCTGTTTTACTTTTTCCTTCATCAAAGTATTTCTCAAATTCAATGAATATAACACCAAATGAAAATGTTACTCCATCAGCAATCAAGTTGACCATAAATGCTGCAAACACAACTACCCATCCCCAGCCGCCGTCAGGGGCTCTGTTAAGTATTTCTGACGATGAGGATGAAGATTCATCTGAATCAGTAGTTGTGTACGAAGTGTATGATTCATTGCAATGTTTAGGACAACTATTGATCGATTCATTATTGTAAAATGTAACATGATTCTTATTATCTACAGAAACTTTATTCCTACCATTATTGTTCGGTGAAAGTAAATTAGATTGTTTCAAATTTTGGTTAACATTTATATTATTAACGAGATCACTAGTTTGGATAATGCTACTAATATTTAATAAATTTGCTTCTGGTTCGGCAGTATTGATGTTATCCGCCATTCCGTTAACTCGTGTGGTTTACTTCTACGTTTTCGTACTCCGATTCCCTTCATGCGGCTACTTAATATAACTTTGACGGCCAAATATCTATCACCGGCCGTACGGTGATTCAGATTGAAATTGTTCAAGTGTTTATATGCAAATTTGGTTTCCATGCGGTTTAATTTTAAGAAATGTCAATTTTCCTTAATATTTGTCTTTTTCAGACACCTGAAAAATTAAAATAAATATTAGTTATTGCACTGTCGATAGTAGATTGAATTTATAGATAATTATTATTTACAAAAGAGTATTCTCAGATATAATGATGTTATTATTTACACTTTTATTCCATAATTGGTTGTTATTTCAAAAATAGATAGGTGAGAAGTTAAATAAATTTATACTTGAGTGAAAAACTTAAGTTTATGAACTTTTTTATTTGGATTCTAGAATATAATTCGGATACTCTATAATAACATATGTTGCCTGTAGATTGAATTAGTAATTTTTGTTATACAAAATACTAAAGACCAAGGACGTCCTAATGGTTCAAAAATTAAAACTTACTAGTGTTCTTTTGCCAAAAAATGGAGTAAAACCTTTAGAGCATTTTAAGACTTCTTGATTTTCAGTTACCCAACCTTACATTAAAATATCACTGTTAACTCCGAAAATATTGATGATAGAATAAATTTGATTTCATCAATAGAACAAAAACATTAAATTATCCTTCGTTAATTTTGGGCCATATTTAGTAAAAAAAAAACATTACTTTTTAATCATTAAATAACAAAAATTAGGCAATTTCCATGTAATTTTAAACATTTTAATTGAAGTAAACACCACTGAAAATTTACCTTTAAACAGTCATAACTCATAACGAGTAGCTAAAGTACGAAAAACAATTTGCGAGAGAAGACATAAGTTGGCGTAGGAATTTAGTACAGTGTATTCTCTCATTACCTTAAGTGCCATTCGCTTACAAATGTGAACCCTAATTTTTCTTTTAATGATTTTTTTCGTAATAAATAAATTTTGATTATTATCATAAATTTGATACATTTTTTGACAAGTTATTTATTTTATTAGTTAACTGAATGAGGTCACAAGAAAGTGCAGGGTGTGCTGGGTGCACTAGGAGCACAAAATATGTGCCCCTGAAGTTTCTCTGCTGTATTTAAGCCACTGTTGTTATCGTGGTCAAAATACGGCATTAAATGAATACACTTCTCTCCTAAGTTCAATCTGATCCACGGAAGCCTTTGCTACAAACTATGTAATTTTTTGCGAGCGCAGTTTTAGGACTTAAAATTTGACAACATGTAGATCCAATGTATTCTACTGAATCACGTGGAATAATCCGAAAATCTGTAGTTAAACACTTTTTTTATTGGGACAAAAGCCATAAAAACTATCAACAATACGATTTTAAAATGGATTTTTTCTGATATTTGAGATTATTTTTACTTTTATTTAGAAATCAGAAAAAATAATTTATAAAAAACTTACTTAACTCGTTGTACCCAACATATGTTCTATATTAATTTGTTCGGGTCGTGGAAACAAATAAATAAATTAATAAACCCGCGGAGAAAAATATAATATAAGGAATTTATTTACATGCTATTATCATTGACATATTACGACAACGCCATTTTCGGATATACTCGATGTTGCAACTACACGGGTGTCGCATAACTAATTGACTGGTTAACGATAGCCAAATTAATCGTTTATAATACTCATATTATCATACATGTGTGGATGTATAAAATGTACGTGATCAACGAATTTTATACCGAAATAACTAATTTAATTACATAAACTTGGTTCGTGATATGCATACTATTAACAAGATGTATTATTATTGTATATATTTCAGTTACAAAATAGGTGCTAAATTAGTATCTTACCATTGTACACGTTGACGCGTTAAAATAAAAAAACAAAAAGTTTAGAATGATTTCCTGAACAGTTTTATTAGTCGATCAGGAATTTATAATATTAAAATAAAAGTATTTTCAAAAAATTATACGTTTAAGTAAAACAAAATGTTTCCAAAATAACACGTATCTTATGTTAAACTGATCTCCGTGGATCTGCGAAATTTAAAAACCAAAGCTTAATCGTAGATAAGTTTTAACCCCTTGTTATATAACTATAGGTTATTAAAATGTTCTAAAAACACCACACGTAGAGTACTTAACTGAAACAAATGTACAGGTTTCTAACTAGAGTTACTCGCAAACAGAGGTCAATAATTATTTATTCTTAGTTAGGTATACTTTAAAAACCAAATTTGTACATAGATATATAAAAAAGCACTAATTATTATTTTGTTTTAATTTTTGGTTTTCAGGCGCAATATATACAAACCAATAATTGGCGACATTATATTCTTTTTGGCCACTAGGACATGTTCTTCTCTGGAATGAATATGCTAGTCTTTTTTCCCCACTATATTCATGGACAATTGTTTTAATCGACTGACATTTTGTGTTTTATTAATCAATATGAAAAAAAAAACTCAACGAATTGTTGAACCAATTAGATAAAAAGACAAATACACGAAACCGAAGACAATAAAACAAATCAAAACTAGGTCCGGCAATGATACATAATTATTATATTAACATTGGTGGTGATGCGCAACGAATATACAGGCGAATACCACAAATCACTTAAACAAACCATTCTATTGTTAATGTGTCGACCGTTAAAAAAAAAAAATCAATAACAAGTGTTTGTAACTTTTAGTTTTGCGTCAAAAGAGTTGTAAAAAACTTGGCAGAGGTTTTTCATGATATATATTGAATATTGTTATGTACTTCTCTGTACGGCTTTGCCAACTTTGATGGGCGCCAGCACCAAAAACAAGCTTAATATTATATAAATAAATGCCAATTCTACATGAAAATATATTTTATACATTTTTAAATGCTCGGGGACATCGTCACAGCAGAACAAATTATTTTTAGACCGTCGAAAGAACGTCAGTTCAGGTACAGCTGTAGGTACTCCCAGCAGAATTCGAATGAATCTTTCGATTAAAAACCATATCACTAAATATAGAATAATAATATATATTATTATGGCACAAGAGTTTAGGCGTCTACGACTATAGTATAGTATTACGAGTTTGCGTGCAATATTTAATTTATGCGGTAACATTATTATATCCAAGCAGTTATAATGTAATGGTACATGAATATAAAAAATCGATATATTTTATTAAAGCGGCATACATTATTATATCCAAGGAACGTAATAATGTAAAAGTGATTAATAATGAATATAAAATTCGAGATATCTGATAACCGACGATAAGAATAGCATATAATGATAATTATGCTATCTATAATATTTTATAAAATTTTAATTTATAGTCTATCGAAATGTATTATTTCAGGGAGGGGGAATTGGAATATTTTTACAGTGTTCTTATATTGAGAAAAAAATGTACACTACATATTATATTTTTTCCGAAAAATAGTTCTTTAATCGATTTTGAATTGTCCATGCTTAAGACGACGTGACAGACATGTTATAATTAAATAAGAAACATTAACCAACTGTATAGCTTTATTTAAGTCGGTTGCGACTCGGCAAAATGGGTTTTCGCGTTTTAATATCACAAAAAGTAGGAATCAAATAAAACTTAAATGTCAAAAGCAAAATATTTTCGGGCAACAACAATTATTTGTAGGTACTCACATTTAGAATATTTTTTACTATTCCATGATATCGGAGGATAGCTTGCTTTTATAAAAAAAGGATCACTGAGAAATGATAGAAAAAAACAATTACAATTATAGTTGAGGTTTTTTTTATACTACCGATGTTTATGAACGGTTCCTACAATTATATTTTAAACAGCAGTTTAACGAACATAGAATAATATATTAAACTATATTGATATCAATTTTATAGCTCTGGTTGAACGGCTATCTAAAAACATTTACTATGATAATGTATAGACAATAAGTAATAGGAGTACAAAGATGTAAAAGATAACTTATCGATGCATTAGCTGTAATTCTTACGTTCAGTGTTCACACATTATCCGTATCAATAAAGCCGTACCTTAACATAAATTATTATAATATGATTAAATAAACCTTTGTAACTATTATGTGTAATATGTATTTTATTAACATAACCAACAAAATAATTTATTTCGTAGTAGTTGGTAAATGTAATACTATTATAATAAATATTACTAAAAGAAGACATTGTTACGCACCGCAAATTATATATTTCTTGTTTTTGCAATTATTATGCATATTTGTATAGTTTTAATAATGATAATAAATTAATAAACTGTAAAATTTTTAATTTATTTAAATTCAAAGCTCTAATTAAAGAAACATGATCATGTGTTGATATGTACATTTAGTTCTAAAACATTATTTAATTTACTTGTATAAATGCAGAAATATACATCCCAATTATTTTTGGATGTTGGAAGTATTTGGATGGAGGTGATACTTGCACACACTGAGATGTACTCCACTCCAAAAAAAATGTTAAAGGTCACCATTTTATATCTTCACGATATCAAAGTCAAATAATATCAAAATTTTAAAAAAAGCTGTGTAACATTCGTTCAGAAATCAGGATACTCACAGTTCTCACTTCAGCTTAATTTTTGTAGGGATCAATTATTAACTAAGTCAATTATTTCTTCTGCGTTACTAGAGAGGGGGTTCTTTTTACATCACAAACAACATACTAATATAATTATTATAATACATAATTACAGTTCAAACCAATTTGACAGTTACGAATTTCATAGTTGCTATGTATGAGTGAATCAACAGTCAACGGGTACAAATTTGAAAATATTATTAATTACGACAGATGGGTAATAAGGGCAGGACATTTTAACAGATCGACAATCAATCCTAATCGAATCCTTCCAAATACTTTTTTGTGTTTCTACCATCTATAGCTTCGCATCAAAGCGTTTCGTTGAACACTTAGTTATAATAATTTCTGCAGACTTGTGACTTCCCCACTTCGACATGATCCGTTCCCGTTTCGATTGTATTGGCTTTATTTGGACGTACATTTTATAAATTTTAAATTATATACATAATTCATAACGATATTTTTATTTATGTTTTTTTTTTGTTCAATACTATTACCATGTACGCGGAACGTCACTGTAAGAATATACATATTATATATGATTATAATATTACACGTATTATCTACGACACAATTTT